GACTCCTTCTCGGACCTGAATTGTGCGGAGGGGATGACAGAGGTGCGGAGGGGAAGTTGCAAGGTAGGAACATAAGGAACATGAGTAACTAACTACTGTAGATCAAATTTGTCCCATTCTGAAACGAAATGAAACGAATAGATATCATTTTGGAATTATTGCCATCACCATTTTCAATTCAGAAAAGGCACATGATTCGCTGAGACTCAAATGAGACCTGGTCAGCCTGGAGCTGCTGAACCCAGTTCTGGAACGCTGCTGTCATTGATCTGGTGTAGGCGTTCTTCTGCCTATCCTGGGCCTGGACAACGAAATCCTCCATCGTGGAGCCGCGCACCTGCAAACAAAAGGGGTGAGATCGGTGTGGGCAATATTCTGCTATGCTTCTATCTCATCCCACTGAAACAGCTAAGTACCACAAAAATGTTCTGTTTGTTCAAACCATTGCGATGGATTGTCATTACATATATTCCTTGTGGGCTGCTATGTTTTTTAGATATATAGTGTTTCTCCTCCATATAATATAATAAATTATGGATGGAACCAATCCTGCATCAAGCGATAAATGGATAAACTGTTTATACCATTATTTGGAAGGGGCTTATAGTTATCCCAAAGTTATCCCACTATTTACAAATCCCAGGTGTTTTATAGCTCCCAGCTGGTGCAAGATTTGTTCCATCCACAGTAGCACAAACCGTGGTTAATTTTTGCGCTGATCTTTGCTTCACGGTTTGCCCCTACCTGCCTCCAAGATGAAGGGTATCCTGCCCCATTCGAAAGGCTCCGCAGCTTTGACGATTCCACCCAGATCGCTGTCGAGGCTCCTTGATCAGAACCCAGATAGGGATTCCCAAGCCCATCCCTTGAAAATAATCGGGAAATATGACAAAATCAATCACATCTCGGGTTCCGGTTTTCAGCTCTGAATTGTGATTGGATTTCTGGAAATACAATCACAATAACCTATCTAAATTGAAAATCAATCACTAGGAAAAATTGGATTTCAAAATGGGAGCATGATCATAAGTTTGGTGACCTATTAAAATGCGATTGTATTTCTGGGAATCCAATCACAAATGCTAGCTAATTTTATGGGGTAGAATTTGATTGATTTTTTGGGTTTGGCGCCGGCCAACTCCGGATAAGAAAATGCGACGTTATTTGTGGGAATACAATCACAATCAGTGGAAAAGCGTCGGCTGGCGCCAGCCAACTCCAATCCAAGATGTGTGATTGATTTTATCCTGAAATATTATGATTTGATGACCCATAATTATATATAGTAATTTTGTCTCTCTTGATTCCATTTTTCTGCTAGTTCAATCATTAGCCAAGATTCCCTTTCATGAACAAGGAATCATGCTGAGTCACAATGTCCCCGGAGAAAGACTTGACCATGTGTTCTCGAAGCCAAATCCACAAGCAGCAAATGTCATAAAGATGTGTGGCTTGGTCATCATCCAGCTGCGCTGCTTTCTTCAGGGACACGGGAGGTGGCACAAGAAAGTGAAATTCTTTGAGAACATATCAGAAATCGATTTTGTCAGCATAGAGTACATTTTGAAAAGAAAGTAGCTAAGTAACAAAAACAAACATAACCCCAGGCAGACCTTGGCTTTGTTGGTGGAGTCTTTCTGAACCTTTCGCTCGAAATCCTCCAGGGTTTGAACGGTGTTTTGTTCAAGGTATGGTGCAAGAAGAAATTTAAAATTTATATAAACTCGAAATTTGTCGTATCGGTTCCTTCGTCATGCGCTGGGCCCACATCATACAAGTTTCCCCAGTAGGGTGAAGAATCTCCCGCCACATTTCTTTGCCATGAAACTTGGGTGAATCTTGCCGCGCGGTGACACCGGGAACCCAGTAGTCTTGTTGGAGTAGATCCAGGGGCATACCTGCAACAGCCGCGATACATACGCAAAACATTGACAGGGGTTATGGAACACAGGGAATATGGAAACACAGGGAAAATACTAATGTGTAATGAGCCATAATCAGTCTACAGTGTTGAAACTGTCAAAAGACAAATCAAAATAGTGATGGGCCTGACACTTCATGCTTGAACAAGTCATAGTGCTCATGAAGGATAGCACCCAGCGTTGGAGGAGCCCTCATCCTGATATTGTTTCTCAAGCATGAAATCTGAGAATCTTTGATTAATAGGCTGAACTCATTCCCCCACGTAGCTACAAATTTGTTGTTACTACTTCTAGATTGGGGCAAGGATCAAATTGTAGATCAAAGACTTGCGGGTGGTGTCAATCCGGTGTTTCTTCACAGTGGTAAGCTTGTTGAATTCTGTGACGCACTTGTTGATCAAATCCTTGAGGGCCTTGGAAGCACCTGGTTTGAGCTGAGCCTGCCGGCGCTCCACTGCCACAGCTTGTGAAATTGCCCCCAGGAGGTCCAAGGCTGAAGGGCTCTGCTTCTCACTGGTCACAAAACCCACACCTCAGATGTGCAAACTTTAGGACTATCAGGGACTATACAAAAGTGCAAGGAAATGCCCCCTTGAAAAAAACACAGGAACACCCACAGGAAGAAACCAATGCGCAATAGAGGCACGCAAGCTATGCAGGAAATGGGTTGCTGGGTTTGGGAAGTATGTGAAACTGCAGCGAATCCATCGAAATGATTCCAGCATCTTGCAAACCTCCGGGTTGTCCAAGCGATCATCCGACCATTCCTGATGAAGGTTAGTTAGGTTGTTTCCGGGAAGGTATATATTTTCCAAGTCAAACAATTGGTGTTTGTAGTGGCACCCTTTTTCACCAGACTGCCGCCGCTATAGAAAAACAAAAATATTGCTTAACAAACAACAACATAATATCACAACCTGGTAAAGACCCTTTCGTCAACACACCAATTAAACAGTGAAAGTGAAATGTTCCTTTTGGCCATGAATCAAGCTCATGGATGAAACAACAAATGGCTGTCATCAAAAGAACTTTCGTGAATCCGTCGTTGAAGCATACTGAGAAGTCTTTGATCTGCCTGCTGGAATCACTAAAGGGGAAGCGTGTCTCCACCGACTCAGCGCTTGGTCGGTATCCTCTGCAAAATTCTCCAAAATGGAGGCGGCACTGCTCATTTTGCGGCCAGTCTGCAGGGACACAGTAAAAGGTGTGGAACTAGAAAAGGGGTGGAACTAGGTAACAGGGCACAAGAATGAGAAAGGGTACTAAAACACTTGTCATTAAACAACATCCAAACACTTGAGTCCCAGGCATCCATTCTTGGCGCTCTCCCCCAAATGAAAGGCGGTCAGCGGTAGCCAGAATTCTGACAAGGAAGCTTGTGGCACCAAAGACAAGGTGGGCTTTGGATCCAGGTGCGCCCCACGATCCAAAACCAAGCGCTTCAACACCTGCATGCCAAGTAAACCAGACCACATTAGAATAGCAGGTATTCACTGATACTCAATACCCCTTTTTCTTGACAACCCCCCAAAATCATCAAAACAACTTGTCAGTAAGCACCTGGAAACGCAAAGATTCGTCTCCAAGAACGTCGTCTACATGTTTCCCCAAGTTCTTCTTCGCTGTCACCTTGCAAACCAAAAAATCCAAACTACAACATATATGTTCTTTGATGTTTTGATATGATGGTAGTGCTCCATAGAAAAACCAAGGATGAGACCGTATCGAAATAGGCTCGGAGTTCCTCTATGGGGTCACCATCTTCCGTTTTCACATCAGCCATGATCCCGGCCAGATCACAACTGCACAGCAAGGCGCTACGCCGTCCTAGAGCCAATTTTTCAAATCAGCAAAACACATGAACCTGGGAAGCTTGGACATGGGATTGCACACAATGTTCAGCGTGTGTGGGTCGAACTAGCTATTTGCAACTTTCCCTTTTGCACTCCCCTTGTGCCCACGCCAAACGTGTTTCAAGTCCCAATTGCATAGTATGCAAATAAACTATCCCCGGCTATGATGAAAGACCACCTGAAGCCAATGGTTCATTGGCTCAGCAGGTCGCTGAGGTAATTGAACATTCCCCAGGCCATTCCTTTGAAATGGCCCAGCATCCAAAAAGGAAAGTCTGGAAAAAGGTTTTCGAGGTCTTGCCATGTCAATCACAGTACGATAGTATCGAACAGCCCGGTCCATGTGTGAGAAGTCTTTGGATATGGCTGCAGCCAAAGATTCAAGCTCAGCAATGCGCTCAGCTTCAAGTTCCTGATGCACCACCTCCCTGGTGCTGTTGATCTGGTTGAAGTAGTTTTCTGTACTGGCTGCAAAGCTTGCGGGGTAACAAAGTAAAGGAGGCTGAATCAGAGACTGATCAGACATATACCCTTTTACCATTGCAAAAACATCTTTCATTGCCCCTTCCGACCGCAAGCGTCGGGGCACATTGTCATCCACTTCCAGGTTGTGCCCTTGACCAGGCATGTCTGACAGGGTGTAACAACAAAGTCAGGGATCAGAGTAAGGAGTAGAACGCATTAAAGTATAATACTGTATGGTTTTTGTTTTCTTTCTAAAGTGGGAACATCATGGTACATATTTCTTTTTGGAACCCCAAGCCTTCCCTGCACATGAAAGAAAATGACTGTGGAACTTTCATGTTGTTCTCCTCATCCGTCTTTCGGGAACGATATGCGTTCTTCAATGTAGATGAGGATGGCATAAGTTTGCACCAATTTCTCACCTTAAACGATTCCGATGCAAATGGTTGGAATGTTATTAGCTGGGGTTGCCACCCTGGGGATACCTTGAAATAATGTCACATGGCTACTTTCTTGCACTCACTGCACCCAGGTTTTTGGAGACGAGTTGCAGCATCAACGTGCTCGATCTGGAAATCCAGGCCGCTCTTGCTGAACAAGGGTGCCAGCTTCTTCTGCAAGCACCTTGGATGAGAAGGCAGCGGGCTGAGAAAACCAGACCAGAAACTTAATGTCATTTAAAGACAGGAAAATCCGATAACGTCATTTAAAGACAGGAAAAATGTCACTTCGGATTAATCTATGAAGCTCATAGGCCCATCTAAGAATACATGGTTCATCAACGAATTTTGCCCTTTCAGACATCAATGGAAATACTTGAGATAAGTTTACTCCACATATTTGTTCAACATACCGGATACTAAATAATCATCAAGATGCTTGATAACCCACATTACAAACACAACAAGGTAAAAAAACCACATAGTTTCGTAGTCTCACATGAACTGTTTCAATTATATAGGAGTTGTTTTAGTCTGGATATATATATATATATGGCATTGGCAAACTAATTACATTACATAGGTCGAAAAAATATTTCGTTTGTAAACAGCACAGCTTACTTGGATAGCAGGAAACCGCATTATATCTGAAGGAGTCTGCAAGTCTGGCTCTGCTTTCACCGCTGCCGTCACCAATGAGAATATTCCATCTGGACAGGGGAACAGGTAAGATAGAACATGAAGTTATGAACACAAACCATTTGTAAACACTTGGAAGAATCATTTCAATTTGACCCAAACAGCGCCTATGTCTTCGTGGGTGTGTCCCACCACCATATGGTGGTGGGACACACCCTTGAAAAATCTGCCTTGAACCATCATGCAGGCCCACTTCCCGGTAAACGAGTTTCGAAGTTCTTTCGGGGTGTTGTCCCCCTGGACCCATAACCTCAAATTGGCATACGTTTGAACAAATGTTTTTTTTGGGTTCTCACCAGATTGGCAAACTATTGGCATATTAAACAGCCGCCACACTATGCTGAGACTGAAACTCTGCTGGGAGCTCCCGGTTGAGAGACCTCATCTTTGCCCAGGCTTTGTCGATGGATTTCATCACCTTTGCCAAGTGGGATATGAGCAGGCATATGTTTTAAATATGGGGTGAAGTTGATGCAATTCCAGGTTTAGTACAGTTGAGCTACACATTCTATCGTCCAATTCGATCCTCCAGCCATTCCTTCATCGGAAAGATACATATAGATGCCGGTCCCGTGAACTATGCATCCAGTAAGCGTCAAGTATGTACCTTAGTCAAAACAGATATGGCAAGAGGTTTTGGGAATCTTCAAATTCAAACACATCACTAATTCAATCAGATTGCGTCGTGTAGCTTCGAAAATTGTACGCTTTGGCGTTCGGGACATGGGGTATTTTGGCAAACTCATTTTGCAATGGTCATAGGAATCCACTATGATCGTCATGATGTCACGCTGCACTTTGGCACGTTCGCGTGCCATGTAGTATACCTGCCGGTCCTTCCAGGTCTGGGTGAAGTGGGCCAGAAGTTGATCCGAAATCTTGGCCTCCTGGTTGAAGTCCTGGGCAACGGCAAGGGGTAATGGAATTGTTGGTCTAAGACAGGTTGGGGACAAAACTTAAGGTATCCTTTATCATCAACTTCTTTGTATAAAGATTAAAAAAATGAGTAGCTAGACACAATCAAGATTCATATGCGTTTTGAAGGGCAGATCGCAACTGGGCACAAGTAGCACACTGTGCATGCTGGGTCTTCTTATGGAACCTAAGACATACTTTCCATTCAACAGCTACTTGGAAGAACGTTGATCGACATGCAGGGGCTTCATTCTTGACCCGGCAGTAACTCTTGTAGACCAAGAAGAGTTCACTCCAAGATCCATGAGACAACTCCCGCAATGGAAGTCGTTGCGGGTCATGGTTGAAGGACAACTGCAGGAAAGGACTCATCAGGTGTGTGTCCACCAGCCGCTCAAGCAACTGCTGTCTCAACTCATCATCAGCTTGCTTCAAACAGGTCTTCGAAGCCACCCTGAAGTTTCAAAACAATGATGATTTTCATTTTTTCTCTCTGGGTCAAATGGAAATTAATCAATAGGGCTGAGGACTATTTGCAGAAAAGCTACTCCTTGGTCATTGGTTCCCCTGCAGACCAGTACATATGCAAGAAGAAAGCTCGAACCGAGGCTGCTTTTTCGGCAGGCTTGCCGGCAAGACCTGAGAGACAGCTGGCGTACTGATTTGCTAGCTGGTATGCTCACAGATAGATATCAAAGAGTTTCAGGGTGAAAAAATCTATATAATTCGAATAAGGTACGACCCACAGTTGATCTGCCATCTTTTCCAAAGCATGTTCTCTTACAGCGGTGTAAACGCTTCTTGCCAATGCCCAAGAGATGCATCCATGCCACTTTGCAACATGGGTGTCCTGGAAATGTTAATTGTGAGGTGGATGTGGAAGAATAAAAAATAGATAGTTTTTTTCTTACAACTGGTTGAAATTGAAGCATTGAATTTGGGTCCTTCAATGAACCAATCCTTCTTGGAGCCATTCCCCGGATTCTCATGCTGGATTGTCCAAAGAACTGTATCCTGACCCTGTTTTGTGAGCAGCCAGAAGGCCACAGCAACTCGAAGCACGATTCGAAATGGAACAGCGCATTGACATGTACAAATAGGCTTTTCCACTGCTTTTCGGATTCTTTGTTTTGAAGAACCATTGGTGGAATATTTGGACATGGATTTGGCTTTGCCATTGGTTGCAACTGCATGCATTGATTGCAATCTCTGACTAGTGAGATCCACTCGTCCCCTTTCACCACCATCATCACTACTAGTCCCACTGGAAGAAGATTCTGAGTCAGTCATCTCTGAAACAGACATGGCGTCATTGCTCGAGCTGCTTGGAGTCCTAGGTTTCACAATTTGCTGAGAGTTTCGCACTGTCCCGGGTATTCCAGCACAGAGACCACAATTGCAGCCCAGCTTCCCAGAATCATATTCTGATGATGAAGGGTCATATCTCCCCAAGCCACTCGGAACTACTGCATCGCTTGCAGCATCATAGCGGGAGAGGACCGGCATCTCTAAATGACAAAGAAGGGTCCTGTAATCTGATATTAATATGTTTTAGCATGCCGTGGCTATTATAACAATTCTAATTTTTTTACATGTGGGTATTTGTAGGAACTTGTTGGATGAGATTAAATTTCCCAAAGCATGGTTCAGTTTAATCCCCAGACTTGATCTCCGAGCATCATGATAACTTGTTGGATGAAATTAAATTTCCCAAAGCATGGTTCAGTTTAATCCCCAGACTTGATCTCCGAGCATCATGATTTGCAGTAACAGCAAGGTGCAGGTCCATTGAAAACTACGTGCAGGTCCATTGAAAACCACATTACAAAGCAAGTGTGCACCACTTACAATTTAACTAAGCACAGATATCAGGATTTTTTCCCGTTCAATCTTTCAAGACTGGTGGGCCATCTTGTCAGGCCGCGTCGCAGTGATAGCGACAGCAAGAAGGGCTGAAATAACCCGGACACACATGGTGTTGCCGCCCAGGTCGTGCAATACCTGGGCCAGCTGTGTGGACACAGTGTGTGTGTGTGTGCCAGCGATAGGGCAAGCCTGGAAATCACTATGCCTCACAGATCTATCCAAACATTGGGGTTTGAAAAAGTCGGGGAAGCCCAAAGTACCGAAAACTATTTAGTTTTTTCCACATTGAAAGCTATGATTTTGGCACCTGTCTTAGGAAATCATCCATGTTACACTGTCATCCACATTGGTCACCATGCGATGCATCGGGAACCCCATCAGAAACATGATCTCCTTCCCGGTCAAGTACCGCTGGATGCCCAGCGCAAGCCACTTCCCCTTTGGCCTCATGTGGCACCACGTATTTTTATTTTTTGGGGTGAAGGGCAACGTCTAAATCGAATAAAACATATTTCAGACTTAAGTTCATGGTGATTGAGGCTTGTACGTGAGGCATGGAAGAGCTGCTTTGGTGTTTGTAGCAAAAGGCATCTGTCGCAAGCTCTGGGACGTGTTTGCAATCGCCACATTGGGGTTGTGAGCCAACAGCAATGCTATGGCCTTTCCAGCAGCGAACAGTAGGGGTTTAATAATGTGCTGGCTAAGAATAGCAAAGACGATACTGTAACATGTTTAAAAAAAAAATGCCTCCATTTCTCGCCGGGTGGTGATATATCGAGCTGCTTCTGGGTACTTGTTCATAAAGTTCGAGCGGGCATTAAGCACATCAACCTGCCCGGCAGTCATCCCAAACATGAGTATATATAATAGTTCATCCCAAACCCCAAACATGAGTATTTATAATAATAATAGTTCATCCCTATGAGAGATGATTGCATAATTTGTCTTGCCACAAGCCAACCCAACCTGCTTATCCTTTGCCCAGCATCGGTGTTGTTTGATCCATTTTGCACTCCGGTCCAGAGGCCTTGGGAAACACTGAGACATGATAACCCTGGGGGGATGGGATTACGCAACAAGGGGCTAAACTTACAGGGGAAATTTGGGAAGCCAGTCGCCCATACTAATTACACCCAGCCACTTACTAGAGTTGTTGACCCGTTTGCCCTCTTTCGCCCTGCAATCCTTCTTCACAGCTGGGTGGTCTGAAGGGAGAAGAAGCTCTTGCCTTATGCAGGAGAAAATGACGAAGAACAAACTATTTTGATCAAAACCGTTTAAGACATGCAATAATCAATCCTGTGTATACTGACAAGGGACCATGTGTGCTGGATGGGCTGGTTCATGCCCCTAAGCTTTTCTACGATGTAGTCATCCAAACTCATCCCCAGGTCACGCAAACAATCCTTCCTGATCATGACCAAAAATATTCTCCTCCGAGACAGTGGAGCGCCAAAGAATGTCCTGAGAACAGAAATAGGGAAAAACCTCAAGACAGAAATAGGGAAACTTTAAGAACAAGACAGTGACAGAAACATGGAAACATTTCAAAACACAAGTATGGAAAACATGAGAACAGAAGTAGGGAAATCTCAATGAACAGAATTGGAGAACATTTGTATGTAACTTGAACATGTTGGCAGGTGTTGACAACAGAACCGAGGCACGGTGTCAGGATATGGCTGCTGATCTCATACCTTACAAACTGGCTTCTTACTAAACCGTAGATGGCACAACAGAGCCAAAGAATGGAACGCAAATCAAATGTTAATGCAACCACATTGCCCTGGCACATTCGCTTGGATCAGGGATATCACTTTCCCAAGAATTGGACGAAATCCGAGGACATTCTCCAAAGCTGCAACCTGTAGTGTTGAAAAAACGTGTGATATGAATAGAGCCTTGCAACAATCAAAGAAAGACAACTCGATACGATCGCATAGTTTATTCAAGAAGCTTTAGGTCGGTATCTCCGCAGCCGCTTGATAACACGGAAAAGTTGGCGAGCATTCTGGTCATGAAGCATTTTCCGTGTACAGCTCAGCAAACTATAAGGAGTACACGGAAATCCAGCGGCATATGCACTTGCCTCCAGAAAACAAATCACAAATTGGGATCGAAAGGTTCAGAACAGAAAGCAGGCCAGCCCCACGACGAAAAGCCAAGCAACATCATAAATTGGCAGCCGCTGGTCCTCCTTGGTGAAGATATCAGGGCATATCCTGGGCGAAACCCAAGTTAATATTTCTATTATTATCCTTCAAGTCAACTGCTTAAATTTCCAATGCAAAATGAATGGGCCAAGTATCTCCCCCACAAGCCCGGCATTGCCCCTCAAGAACTCCCGCTTTTCAGGGTTTACCTCTGATGCAGACCTAGGAAAAGCAAACAAGCACATAAACCAAAATGGACGAAAATAGTACAAATAAAGTAGTATACTCCGAACACAAATTGGGCCCCTTGCTGAAACTTCAAGGCATCAAGCTTTCCAGCCGCGTGAAACATCATTTCCAGTCCATGGTATGGTGCGTCAGCCCCAGAACCTCACAGAGTAAAGAACGTTCGAACACAATGAAGTAAAAACAACTTCAAACTATCAGCCCCAATGCTAACAAGACACAATCACTGGCATAAGTGAAGTGACCATGAAAGCTCAACATCCAGTCATTCAATCCTTGAGATAGGTAGGGAACTCAAAGCAACAACGATGAAACAACAAGTGGCCAAATTGCCCAGAACCACACCACAATCTAGAATGCACACTAAGTAATGCAGAAAGGGTTCCAGATGTTTGCAGAAAGGATGGGCCAATTTCAGTGTAGTCAATAATGCGCTGGGAAATTTGAATATCCTGCAAACCAAAGAAAAACAAATCCAGGACCCAGACTCTAATCAACACATAGATCCTGAAAAACTAAACAAAGCTAGGAGGGTGACCCCCCTCAAAAGAAGTCCTCTGGACTGCTAGAGCTCGAACATTCGCTCGATCCAGTAGCCAGAGAACTTGGGCTCTCCATGGCTGCACACGGGGACCATCCCCCCTTGATCCCAAAGCAGAGGGCCACTTGGGTTTTGGAAAAGGATCACTTAGAAACAGACAAGACTATATATAAATATTGCTAATTATTCATATATAATATAAACACATGCTATTCTGTACTGTATCTATGTATACCTGCATCTTCAAAATGGTGCTAAATGTCTGCCTTTTGCTCGAAAAATTGGTTTTCCGAAAGAACGACCTTTTTTTGCGGAACGGTGTTTACAACGGCGTTTTTTTGCACAAAAGACTTTTCTTTACAAGAACAACTAAAAATTATGCCTTTTGGAGCAACGGCGGAAAAAAACACCACATGTATATTATATTATCGTACATGTACACATGCATATATGTGTGGAATATCCCCAATGCTGCTCTATATAGAGGTTACAATCACAGGATTACAAAAATCGTTTGCTGACTTCCAGGGTCTCATTGCCTCATTGTGAATGAATAGAGACTGGATCGATTTCAGCCTTGGAAGAATACGTTTTCCCCATAAAATACAATCTAACATGCCCTGTTTTAATGCTGGGCCTAATATTATATATAATTATATATATATTATAAATATATAAATAATATTACGGTATTGCGGGGCCGGAAATTGCACATCAAAATCTTAATACAACTGCCCCAAACGGATGGGTGTGGCGTGATGCTACTTTTCCAAAGATACCTTCAATATACACAACAGATCACAGCATACGCAGATGTGGGCAAGGTGGTTTTATGGGGAACCATATGCTCATCCAAACGCTTGGAACTTGTTTGAAAATGGGTGCCCCAAATTCTGTTTTGATGTACACCAACTATTTCCGGATATTGCTAACCAGCTTCAACAAACAAAGCAGGGTATCCAAGACCCATGAAAAATGCAAAGATGAAGCACTGAACTCCGGCTAACCCAGCTCCCGCGAAGGATCACGGTCAGTTTTGGGGCTTCCTTTCTGGGCATGACGATGTGGCTGGGCGAAAGGATAGATCGGAGGGATTTTTTCTGGGAATTCAACAGTGGAAAATCCCTGGTGTGAACAACATCAATGGCGTAGTATGTTAGGTTACTTCATGGCTAGTCATGGAACGTCATGGAACCAAGTTGGCATCAAATGCCGATAAATTGGCAAATCAGAATATGGATCGAAGACCATGACTGGGACATGGCAACAACTTCCCAAACGAAAGACGTGGTTCCAGCAATGGCATTCCATCGATGAGCATCCAAGGAATCCCAGGTACGAATCAATGCTTACCCTGTAGTACTCAAACATGGCAATTCCTGCCATGGATGAACAGGGGACTTTCCCCGCCGTGTAGGCGGGAAAATCACCCATGAAAATTCCGTCGATCGATCGAGATCTCGATGTGATTCCCATTTTGGTTGGTGGTTTGGAACCATGGAATTTTATGACTTTCCCATCATATTGGGAATGTATGTCATCATCCCAACTGACGAAGTCCATCATTTTTCCGAGGGGTAGGCTCAACATATATAGGTAAATGATAGTGACCTCAACCAACATTAAGTACTATTAAACTAAACTTAATGTTAGATTATACTGATTACTAGATGTAGTCAAGGTGAGTTACAATGTTCAACGCCCAGTTCAGGGATTCCCAGCCTCAGCTGACCAGGTTTTTAAGTGGTGCCTTGGCAGCATGAGATCCCGAGATCCATGCTCGATCGATGGCTGATCAAAGATTAAACCAAGAAACATCCCCAGTTTGTTGGGGAAACATTTTAATAGTGATGGTTAATAGTGGTTAATAGGCTATAAACCAACAACTATGGGAATATTATGGTGATCTGGTTGGTGCTTTGGAACATGACATGACTTTTCTGACTTTCCATATATTGGGAATGGTAACCCAACTGACGAGCTCATATTTTTCAGAGGGATTGACACCACCAAGCAGTGTAGTATTGGCATGTATATATGAACCATCCATCTACATATTGGGGTATGAAGAACTTGAATATGGTGCAATGGCAGCGCGATATCTCCAGACTTTGTTGCTATGCAAACACCATGTCAGGCACGCAGTGAGCCCCCGAATGAAACAGTCTTAACGTAACCTACTACCCCACCAATTTCAAGTTTCAAATGGGCATAGCAGAAATGACCAACAACAAAAATAAGGAACATGTGCAACCCAACTTTAGAAGTGGATGCTTGTGGCTGGTCATTGTCATGCCATGAAAGGTGTGCTCATGCCTAGTCCCCAAGAGGGGTTGGAGCCCCCTTGATCCCCCATGCAATCTCATGATGAGAGGATTGCTGTCCAGTTTGACCCACAAACTCCATCAAAATCCTGGAATACCAGGGACATCCAGGGACTTTCAATGCCAATTTTGTTCAACAAAACCCCACAAACACATAAATCATCACAAATGCTGCATCATATCCCGTTCAACCAAACATTTTCCCAACAAGACCTGAACCCATTGAGACCTCCATGGGGCCGGAAATGACCATGGCATACCGACCCTCAAGGTTTGGAGATGAGCCTGTCGAATTTGAGCGCCAAAGCCTCCATGGCGTTTCGCGGCGCAGATGGAAAAACTTCCTGGACTAAATGGAGGTTTCTATAGTTTCTAAAGCTGGGAAAATGAGAGAACTAATGGTGATTTTGGGCCACGTTCGATTGCCGGAGGGTATATAATTAATATGTTTTCTTGGGGGTGAGAATTAATGAAGAAGAATCTGGTTTCAAAGACGTAAAACCATCCCATGGAATGGTGTTAAAAATGATCAGTTCAGTCCCGGCCCAGTTTGAAATGTTTGACAAGGACTCATGACATGCCAAGTATTCTTGCTGTACAAGCATTTATTTTGCAACTTGCACCACCTTTCCCTCACTTTTTGCTTGCTTCCATCCCAAACACATGTCCCTTTCAGAACAACCTGGGGTTCCCAAGATAGGTTTCTGTTGGTTTATAACTCCAAAAACTGTTGGACTGGTGGATATATCAGAGATACCTTGGGATATCCCAACATCCACAGCGTATTTTCTGCGAGTTCTTGGGGACAAAAAACGTGAAACAGCCGCGGCTGTCAGGTTGGTGAGTGTAACCTCGCTGAGCAGCCATCGATATTTGGGAACCTTTGTGGCCTGGAGAAATTGCACGCCGAATCTGGGGATCCAGTTAGGATCCGGCCAGGATCTCCATGGTAACCGATGGGGATCCATGGGGATCCATGGGGGATTCTCAGACAAGTTGCTTCATGTTTTGTTGCTGTTCAGATTCGATGGTGTTTTCAGATACCCTCTGGTGAACTAACACAGCAATGGAAAATGGCCATTTATAGTGGATTTTCCCATTAAAAATGGTGATTTTCCATTGCTATGTTAGTTCACCAGAGGGTATTGGGATGATGAATGATGATGTTGATGTGGTCAACATTGACGATTTGTTTCGAATCCCGCCCAGGATGAAGGATCATTTGAACAGGGTTTCAACCACCCCGGGAGTTGAACTTATTTCTGACTGAGGATTTCAATCAAAAGGGCAAAAAAATGTTTAACAAAGAATGAGTGTTGATTTCTCCAATTAGATGTGGAGTTTCAGATTTTCAGCAACCAACAGCTTGATAGTTTTACCATGTTATACCTCGTTTTCACGAAGAAAGCTGGGAATGCAGATTTCACACAATCAACATAAAACTGGGTGTATTATAGCCTAGAATTAATTCACAATCTGTTGATATTGGGGATACCCAAGATACCCGAGGGTCCGACCCATCCACTTGTGAACTATTCGACCAAAGTTCTCAACCCCTTAGTTTACCAACCATCATCAGATCCTCATTATAGTTGATCCACTTTTTTTTGGTTTGCTATTTAACTTTGTTGCAGAAAAAAGAAACGCATCTTTGCAAAAAAAACAACTCTTAATTTTGGTTGATTGACTCGATTCCAATTTTTGATTAGTGAGAACGTCCCATGCTCATGCCATTCTTTTGGATGTTTTTCCATGATGTTCCATCATGTTCCTGTAAATTTAGATTGTTATTGTTAAAAAATCGTTCACTTCCCAGATTTGGTTCAAAAATCCTTCAATCCCCAATTTCTGCTGGTAGAAAGAGGTAAACAATTTCCCCAATTCTGGATCCTGAAAAATCCCCTGCTGGGAATTTCTGTTGGATGGACTAAACATGACTAAAAAATCCTAGGTTCATTCTTTTGGAATCCAAATTACCACAAATTCCCGTATGTTAAATTTGATCAAAAATCATCAAACATCCATAAACTTTCCCAATTCCGGATCATGAAAATCCGAAACAAGAACTGGGAATCTCTGGAAAAAACTTTGGAAATTCCCAGGCAGTGGCTCTCTACAGCTTCGTGGTGGCCGGCTTCGCAGCATGCTGCGAACCACAGCTGGCTGCTGGGTGAAACCAGTAGATACCTTGTCAAAAAATGGAGGTTTTACCAACAGAAATGCCAAGCAATTTGCGTTGTTACATGATTTTACCAACGAACATGTCGAAATGGTTGGAACAGGTGAAATTGACGTAAATATCATTACAATATCATAAATGATCCAGGAAAGAATCAGGACTTACATAAGGAACAGAGACTTGGGCTTGAAATCAACCAATTTATTTTCGGGATTTGACCTACAAACATGATGAGGGAATCGCGAAAGATTGATTATGGATTTGATCAACCACTAAAAGATGGTGTCAGCAAACATGAAGATAGGACCATGCGGGGAAATGTCGGATTGAATCCCATCCACCCAATTGTTTTGTGATGTCACCAACAAAAGATTGGATAATGCTGGAGGAAAGGATTTGGTCAGTAAAAATGAGAGAGTTAGCCATATGATACGTAACCAACAAGCAATGCGGTATTGAATAATTATTGAATCAACATTCAACCAGAACAAACATGGATTTAGCATGATTTAGAAACAAACATGCAGGCTCTACCAAACCAAAAAAATGATGTTTAAGCAACCAGGAAAGGAGAATCCATGTTCCCAAAGCGGAAATGGCTTTTTTCAGCCAGATCCCCAGTCGTTTTTGTCGTTGCTGCCTCGCCGAGAAAGCTTTGGGCAACACCGTTGAGACGATGTCACGGGGTGAAATTCGGAAGGACGGGGCCTGGGCCCCCTGGGCATGTCGTGTGTCAATTTGGTTGGTGGTTTGGAACCATGGAATTTTATGATTTTCCATATATATATATATATATTGGGAATGTCATCATCCCAACTAAGTCTCATATTTTTCAGGGGGTAGGTATACCACCAACCAGCAGTGTTTGAGAGATTTAACACTGGTTACCTTCATACTGTGTTACATACACACACGTCTTTTCACATACTTTGACTTAGCCATACCATTAGAGTGTGCTATACACAATGTTGCTCACAGAATTTGCTTGTGCTTGTGTTTGTCATTGTTTGTTTATCATGTAAACCTACTCAAATCCCCATATTGTTGTCGGCAAAATTATATAGTAGTCCTTTTGTGGGAAATAGAGGGGCCGGTCTGGTATACCATTGATCGTCATTTCCCTATAGTTGTGAGTTGTGAGGGACCAGAAGCTCAATCATTTGTCTTGTATCGTCACTTATCATATTTGACAGTATCAAAGAAGGTTGCTTCAAACAGGTTGCTTTCAAGGAGGCAGGAGGTGAAAGATACAAACAGCCCCAAGAAATGCTACTTGTTCATTCAGAAGTATCCAGGATTTCCTCAAAACAAGGTAGAAACTGGTTGTTTCTCTCTTTTGCTAGCCATATCTAGCGAAATCGCTAGTTCTGTTTAGCTACACTGTGCTGCTTTTCCTATCGCCAAGCGGCAAAGTGAAGTTCGGAAGAGCCTCTCTGTGTCAACTTGTGTCAACAAAACGCCAAATGCCAAGGTGCCCATGAGGAAAGACATATTATATGATTTATTATATTATGTAACAATTTACCAATTACGTAGGTTCTTGTTTGGTGAGGCTATTTAGTTTTATGTGTTTTTTCATGGTTTCCGTCGTGGGCTTGCATTTTCTTAAACAGTCCTCTTTGTAACATTTTCATATGTGCTCCAATGAATCGTTCAGCACCTATGATCAGTTATCATCTGCCTATGGTCTATCATTTATAATCATTTAGTTTTTCTGTGTGCTGCTCCAATTTGTTCCTTTACCGCTTGCAAAAGGACCAAATTGTTAGTTACTAGTATATCCCAGCATCTCCCATTATCCCATGGAATAATGATCCCCATTCTTTGATGGTTGTTCAAGAACGCGATTGTTGAATGCCAAACAACCACCGAAGACAATGACCTCACCCACCTTTCCGGTGCTAGGATCGCTTGGTGCTGGCGGTTGCGCTGGGCGTCGGCTTCGGATCTTCAGTGGCTTCCTGCGTCCTGATGTCTGGCAGGGACGCCCCGGCGGGCCACCAGGGGCTTGGGACGGGTTGCCCTGCAGCTTGATGGTTGATCAGCTAAAGGTTGGGGTGAAACTCAGGTGGTTGAGTCTTTGACTATCCGGTGGTGAGGGAGCTAAGGAGCTATGGTTGTATCATGTTGTATCATTTTGTACATGTTGTATCCATATTCCCTCAAAAAATGCAGGCCAAGGAGCTACTATGAGTTTCCCAACGACCGTAGATTTATTTGGTAGTTGGTGGGCAAAAAAAATGTCAACATTTATCATATGTCATTTCCGAATGATTTGTGTGGGGATGTGTTGCAGTATCCAGGATTTTCCATGGATAGCTTGGAGGTAAGAAAGCAGACAATCCTATGTTTTTGTTCAAATGGTGAGGAAACACCATGTTTTTTGAGTGTTCTTTATTTTAGATTTGGATTGCTTAAAATTGTTTTCCCTTCAAAATGTTTTTTTGATTTTTTGTTTAGGTTAAGCGATGTTGTTTTGGGAGCGACTTTCCTCTGTTTTCCTAGGCAACACCAGTAGCCCAGAAACGCCAAATCCATCATGTATGTGTTCCATTGTCTTCCTGCAGAGTGTAAAACTGATGGAATCAGAGGTTTGGGTTCCCAACTTCCCATCATTTTCCGGGAGGGAGGATACGAATTCTTCATGGTTCTACCCCGGCGCTTCTTTGTTCCAATATCACAGTTAATATCCGCATGACTTTCCGCGTATGATGTATTTATACGTATCTATGGAGAAGATTTGAAGACCACACTGACAATGATGATGGGTATAGTGATATTATATGATGTTATTATATACCCTCTAGTAATTTGATCTGGCGATTGAAAATGGGCCATTTAGATTTTATACTGGTTGATTTACCCATTCTCAATTGTGATTTGTGATTTTCCAGTTCGCAAACTGTTCGTTTACAAGAGGGTACCCCCCCCAAAACAACAACGGGGTACCCATCGGTACCCGCAAATCCGGCTCCAAAAAATGTTCCAGATTGAAATGGTACACCAAGTGGTCCCAGGGTGGATAAGCTCAAGTCATGATGGTTCTACCCTCTGGTAAACTAAATGGCCATTTATAGTTGATTTTCCCATGAAAAATGGTTATTTTCCATAGCTAATAGCTATGTTAGTTTACCAGAGGGTATATCCCCTTGTATCCCCAATACCACCACATGTTGTTAACTCTTTCCCCATTGATCAGTTGTTGCTGTGCTTGACGAGGTCGGGGTGTCACCACGTTGCTGATGGTGGGTTGACTTGGCTGAAGCGGATTGTGTTCGATGTCTGGGAAAATTGTAGATGGTGCACCATTGTATTCCATGAGATTCCCATCATATCTGGGTAAATTATAATATTTCACTAACCTGAATTATGAGATCGAATCTTAAAACGATTTGCCAAGCTCTCTGGTTGGTGTCTTTTTTTGGGGGGGTTGTCATGGTTCTTCATCATTGTCCCAAAAAGAAATTGCATGTTTTGGTATACAAAACAACCATCTGGTTATGACTAACATAGCCATGGAAAGATCCACAATTCTTAATAGGTAAACCATCTATAAATGGGCCATCTATACCATGGCTATGTTAGTCATAACCAGAGGGTCATACTTTTGGGTGTCATCCCCAGTAGAGGGAACGTGGCGCCATACTTGGTCGCATGTTGGTCGATGGATGGGTCCCGGAGTCCCGGAGTCCCGGGTAGTGCCACGAGGGCTACTATAGGCTACTCTCATCATTCCAGTGTTGGTATTCCCAGAGTTCCTATATTCACAAAGCATCATGTTTTGAAAGACCCTGTTTGTTGATAGCGCTTGTTGTACCACCTTTTTTTTAGGGCTTATCATCCAGGATCCGGCATCACCGGCATTCCAGGTTATGGCTTCTGCTTGGTTCTGACCTTGTTGGCTGATGAGGCGCGCTTCACCAAAGACACCCAAAAAACCTGACTGGAGCAGAAGTGAATGCTGTTCGGCAATCATGTACTATCATGTACTATCATGTACTATCATGTACTCCTTAAGGTTGTCCAGATACGATCCGGAAGTTTTTTCGCACTTACCCTCCGGTATTTTTTTTTGTGGTCGGCCCGGCTGGAAGATCCCCGTGGAGCGGAGGTTTCTGGGAAAAGCATCAAACTATGGGGGGGATTTTCCAGCCATGTTTTCCGCACACGTCGATGGGATGATCAACCAGCTTGGAAAAGGAACTGCTGGAATAAGTCGAGTCGCAGACGTATTGTTTTCGAATATTATTGTTGCAGTACATTGTATATTTGTAGTAGTAGCGGTAGTATGTATGATGTTGATCATTGTCTAGTATCGCTATTTGAATTATCATGATTTTTTGTTGTTAATAGTTGGTTAATTATACATGTTTATATTGTAATGTTAATGTTATATCATGTACAGTAATATTATGTAATTTGTACACACTATATGTTAAGATACATATAGCATCATATAGCTCTGGATGGATTACAGCCATTGAATGTTGAGTTTGTTTTGATGGTATATATAGATGGGTGATGAAACAAACCTGCTAGAAGTTATTCGCTTTCTCCCGCCGGGATGGTCATCCCTCCATTAATTGAGGAAATCCCATTCATAGTGATGGTATGACAAGGGCCCCTTTACAATATTTGGATGAACAAAAATCATGACCTTACAAAGTGACGTCACTTGAATGATGGTAACGGTAAGGGGAATCATGGATAACAGCTATTTTCAGCTTAGTGAGTTATCAACGTGGTAAACCCAATCATCAACCATCCCATTGACCAACCACGAACGGGGGTCCTTTTACATCCCAAAGAACGGGGTTAACATCCAATTTGATACGTCTCTATTTAACCGCCTTCGAGCTGTTCCGCCGGCCACCATGGAAAGAGCTCTTCTGTAAGCTGCAAACAGCCCTTGCACAGGCCCAGCAAGAACACGGTTTTTGTGTGAAACATTGTGTTTGTGGATAACATGAGAACACAGTTTCTGTGTAAAACAGCTCTTTGTGTAAAAGAGGTTTTGACGCAAAGGCAAAAACGTTGATTTTGTTCAAACCACGGTTTAAGTTTAAACCAAAGCATGTGTGTAAACCAGGGTTTTGGAAAAGACCATATTGAGAAAGGCTTTGGAAAAGGCCATATGTAGAAAGATTATACGTGTAAAAGGTGTTCGGCACAAAAGCCAGTGGATCAAGTATTGGATATAAGAAGCGACGGAGCAAACCGATGGCAAACAAAACCAGAAAATGGAAACAACCATCGAAATGACAGCAAGATGTGCAAAACCAAGCCGGTGTTGAGCGCGAAGCGTGGGCAGAGTTGAGCCCACCACAACGTAAGGAATATGAAGACGAAAGGGGAGGGCGGGGAAGGAGGGGGGGAGGAGTGGGGGGCGCTCAAGTTAGACGAGGCAAAAATCCGTGCCAAGGGGAAAGTCTAGACAAAGACAGCGACAAAACAGACAGTACAACTACGAACAAGCAAGATCCACAAGACACGCCGGCAGGCCGGCGGATTGGCTTGGATAAGTACAGTACACACACACATATGTATATATATATATATACATGTACATGATACCTTTGCAGTACCATATATATATACATACAAATACATCAGAGTTAGATATTTTATATGTATTGAATGATTGAGTCGATAAATATATATATACTGTATATATATATTTATAACATTTGATCATGTTCACAGAAAAACTAGTACTAGCTTGGATATAGTATATGTAGACATCAATAGATAATATGTATATATATACATATTTACCTACATACCTTTCAATATCTTCAATATATGTATACAGTGTATACATATATATATATTTATAACATATAGATGATATATAATTAGAACATATATCATTGGATTTGTTGTGTGGGAAATTTGCAGGAAACCATTTGTACAGATATCATCATATTTTGCAATTTTCGTTATTGCTTTCAATTTCCATATACTTAGAATATAAATCATGATGTATTTTTTTTTTAAATGTCTGTCTGACATAAAACAAATCTACAGTTACATAATTACTACTATCATTTTGCTTATCTAGTATAGTTAGCGTAAACTACTTATAAACTAATGTAAATTAAGTATTCCAACTAGTTTAGTGCACTATTAAACTAACCATTTGTAAAATTCTTTGCTATACTACTACTAATATGTAGTTATATTTTTACCAACTATACTAATGGTGACTATTCACTATATAATTTTACTAATGGTGTGTACTATATAGCTATACTAATGGCGTATGTAAGTTTAGACTTACATATACGACTAGCTATGCTTACTATGCTAACTATGATATAGTAAACTATTAAAATTATGAACTATGATATAGTAAACTATTATGATTAAGTGTACTTACTATATATTTTTAACTACACTATATAACTTTGCTAATGATAGCTAGTAAAACCTCGCAGGCCACTGTGGCCATCGCCTGGGATGTGGCTGGCGTGACAAATGGCCCCGTCACCACCTCGGTGGTGGTCTCCAACAGTGCCCTGGCCCTGGCGATTTTGTAAAGGGACGAAATGGCCCTTTGGATGGGGATATCATAGGTATAGAATGGTATTTAATGGTATATCATGGTATATATGTATGTACAAAATACATACATATATATATATATACATATTATATGTATATACATATTATATGTATAATATATATATATACTTAACATGATATAATTTGATGATATATGATCCCAAATATCAATTTACTTCATTTCGTTGAACATGTGTCTTCTTATTTTCCAAATAGGATTTCTTCCGAAATAACTTGCATATGTATATATACATAGAATATAAGATCATTTTATATCAAAGAAAATATATTATAATATATTTTTGTATGAAATAGTTAACTTAATTCAACACATAATGTACTCTAATATATAATATGATATGATATAGAATTTAATCTTGAATTAAATATACACTAATTTAATTTAACTAAACATTTAATTTAATACAATATTAAACTATTTTTTTATAATTTAATCTCATATAATACAGATTAAATAGATATAATATCATATAATATAATATTATGCGCCATTTTTTGAATAAATGACTTAATTTAATACAACATATGTTTAAATACATTAAAAAAAAAAAAAATAATAATATGGTATAATATAATCTTAAACATAGTTTAGTTTAATTTAATATCATATAATACATAATATAATATCAGATAAGTTTAATATCATGTAATTTATAATATAATTTAATGATAATTAATGTCTATAATATAATATCAAATGTGTTTTTTCTATGTAATATATTTTTTTAACATGACAATATAATATATAATTTATTTCATTATGCAATATATAATATAACTTCATTTAATATAGGACAATTTGATATAATACAATATATATATATGGGTGATTTAATGCGTATCCCATATATCAATTAATTTCATTGAACATGTTTCTTCTTATTTTCCATATAGGAATTCTTCCGAAAATAGTTTGAACATATGTGGAACCAGCAGGGTGAAAGAACTTGGGATTTCACCGTGAATTTCACCATCCGTGAGTTTGGGGCACAGCTGGAAAAAAACGTCAAAAACAAAGGGTATCGGATGGATGGAACATGTTAGCATCCATTGGGTTAACTGTATCAACCATATCTCCGGGATATACGATTTGAATGGGGATATTTCGTGAAATCATCCAAAAATGTTATGATTTGATCGGCTTACACATACCCCGATGATCCCCACTGTATGGTCATGTGTTGAATCAGACAGGTGAAACTGCCTAGCTAAGAAAACAACTGGTTTATATCCAGTTTATATCTGCAATACTTGGTCGACTGATGGCAGATATATCTACAGTGGAATGGGTCTAGAAAACCATTTTATGACTAGCAGGCAAATTTGTATTTTCATGTGGAAAATACGGGAAATGTGCTTCGGATATAACCAATGATCATCAAATTTTTGTTGAATTTCATCATGTTGGGTCCAAAATGGGGGATATTCAACATGGCAATTTTTGACACATGAACCATGATGAGAAACCACGCCGTTTTGGGTACCCCTGTTGGTGGATCCCTCAAGCACGTGTTTTAATGAATTAATTACAGATTCAAATCTTACGTTTGGGGTTGAACACGTACCCAATGATAGGGTTGACCAGATAAAATTTGACCTAGTTCTTACTTGATTTTCTCAATTTAATGTGTATGCATCCAGAAATCGCAAATACCCCAAGAATGTTTCTCAATGGGGAAAACAATCAACATCCACTGGGTTTGGATCACCCCAATGTTTTTTTTATGCCCACAGATCCAATTGATGTGCAAAATAATATCTTTTTGCATATGTACATCATTGTACATACTTATATTATTGCATATTTCACAGTCTATGCGTAATTCTATATATACATGCATAGTTAATATACAATACATGAAAATTTTCAGTACACGCATATTGATAGAAGTAAAATGAAGTGATGATGAGTGATAAATAATTCATGAAGTGATGATGAGTGATAAATCCACCCTTTTGCATAGTCAGCCCGTTTGACATTGCGATGAACGGCTAACCAGGTTTGATTCTACAAAATCAGCCAAACGGCTTCGGGATTTTGTATCCTGGCTGGGGGGATGGTGTCTGGCATTGGGTGAAATCCACATTAGACATACCCGGCCTGGTAAACATACGAAAAACTATGGAAAATCACCATTTTTAATGGGCAAATCCATTATAAATGGCCATTTTCAATAGCTAATTATGTTAGTTTACCAGAGGGTATGTATATATATATATATTTCATCATATAACAATGCTTTTCAACTACACTCCCATGACAGTATATCCCATTGTATCACCAATATTGGCTTATCCAAAATCCCATTTGAATATTTCATTTGATTCCAATGATTATCAACATCATTAGACATACTAGATAAATATGTCAGATAAACTGCTTTTGAAATCAACAAATCATTCATCTCATAAAACCATAATATCACCATTTTCCCCACTATAATCTCATTATATCCACATTAGGCATCTCACAAAGCTGTTTATCAACTGCTTCTGTCGGCACCCAGGAGTTGTTGTTCCTTGGGCGCTATCCTGGCGGTCTTGGTGAGCGGGGTGCTCCGCTCCGGAGCAGCTTGGCGAGGGGCGGCTGAGGCTTTAGGGGGGCCTAAAGGGGAAAATCATTGGTGAGAACCGGTACATACATGTACAATCATATATATATATATATCTATATGCACATGATTATATGTATATACATATACATATAATCATGTGCATATATATATATAATCATGTTGATATATATATATATCATTTGTCTATAAATGTGTTTGTTTTTGTCCCAATACAGGATTGGTATTTGAATTTGTGTCTGCCACATTTTCCTGCTATAGTCTATAGATGATATGTAGCTATAGATATTGAAGAGATTGCCAAATCTATTTAGATGAAAACAATTTTTGAGATCAGCGTTGCGCTATCATATTTTGACTGTAACCCTTAAATTGTTGCGCCGCTGTAAGTGTTTACCGTGTAACATTCATCGTCATCATTTTGCTACCCTCCGGTAATCAAACATGGAAATGGAAAATCCACCATATATAGTTGATATTCTCAAAAAACAACAACTCCATTTGTAGGTACTCCATTTTTTGTTGATATTCTCAAACAAAACCCTCCATTTGATGTTTGATTACCATTTTGGTATTCATTTTTGCGGGCATCCCATGTGCTCAGGGGAGAGGTCGTGCGAGAACCTGGACATGGACGGCGCCTTGTCTCCGAAAAATCCTTCGTTGCCGATGCGCCAAAAACTTAGGAAAAACTCAGAAAACCATGATAAGCCATGCCCAGCTGAACAAACATGGGGGCTTCAACTGCTTCAACCTGCAAATTTTGGGATATGATGATATGATTTGATATATGTTGTTATAAGCGTCCTGGATTTGCTGCCATTGAAGACATTTTCCCATTGGCTGACCATTTTTTCGGAATCTACCGGTGGCATTGTTTACTTCTAACGGTCTCCTTAAGCAAATCCAAGCTTCTATACTTCGTCTAAATTATGGTTGGTTGCTAGTCCACCCCACAAATACACATGTTTGACCTGGATGCGTCAATATTGGTTAGTTCCTGATCATCTTTCTATGGACTTGCTTGGCTGCTATTTTGGTGAACAAGAAGGATATTGGTGCTTTGACCACTCATGGAGTCAGAAGAAAACCCAAAACACTTGGTATTACATAGATGAATGGGGATAGTTCAAACAGGGAAAAGTGATGTAACTGAGACGACAAATCCACCATAATCCACCATATTTGATTGGAGTGTAGTTCCAGTGCCCACCACACTAATCTGGAAGAAGAAGTACAAGGAGTGTCCTTAGAAGTGTCGGAGTGTCCAGCAGGTGGGTGGTTTATCTCAGTGGGTAACGCCAGTGCTGAACGAAGCCTATCCTGGACCCAAACGACACCTCGAGCGGCCAGGAGATGCGAAGCATGCTGTCGAGTGAAAATGCGATGGCTGATCGGTGAACTCTCGGAGATGCGATGGCTGCTGGAGTTTTCAGAGAGATTATTTAACATTATTTATCTATAGGTCTTTATGTCCATTAAAAGAATTATAAGATAGCTATCTATAGTATTATAAATTATATGAGTATTATAAATAACTATTTACCCTCTGGTAAACTAACATAGCTATGGAAAATCACCATTTTCAATGGGACAATCCACTATTTCTATGGCCATTTTCAATAGCTAGAGGGTATGTCATGTGTGCTATTTGGAAGACCTATGAGTGGCCATGAGTGGCCCAATCTTCAGGAAATCATCCCTCCATGTTTGCCGATGCTTGTCGTACAGCGTTTGCCTTCAATTCACTCATATAAAATATTAAAACATGCATTGTCATGTGTTTGAACTATCACAACAATAATATATATATATATAATCTGGTGATTTAACATAGCCATGGAAAATCCACCAATTTTTAATAGGTAATCCATCTATTTCTATGGGCCATCGAAAAACCATGGCTATGTTAGTCATAACCAGAGGGTATATATATATATATATTGGGTTTTTATGACAGGAGGTGACCGTGAGTGACCCTGGGTTTTCTGACTCTACGTCTTTCGACTGATGTCGACTGATGTCTTGAGAAGTCACCATGGGCCGCAAGGGTTGACTTTGAAAAGCATGTGCTGGTGATTTCAGATGAATTTATCATTATTTTTGTCCATTTTGGTTTCCAGTATTTATAGATATTTATAGATATTTATAGATATTTATAGATATTTATAGGGAATCTGTTCCGTTTGAAGTTTTGTTCTGTTTGCCTGTTTTGGGGCCCACTTTCAGCAAATCGATGATATCCCTAGCTGTTCCACGTTGTACATCACAGCACAGACATTTCCATCCCGGCCCGAGCTGCGCTAATTGCTTCATTTCACCGCATTTGCAGGGTGGAAAAAAGGTGTGCTGTTGCCATCAATGTTTGGCAAATGTTGAGGAGACCTGGATGGAGAAAGTTTTCCAATATTTTCCAACTGTCTTCGTGTCACATTGTGTTTCTGTGTTATTTGTTTGTTAATGTCATGTGAGTCATGTTGAACTTGGTTGTTGTGGATTGTAATTTTGGATATGTGTCAATGGGGTGTCCTCACCATCTATGGGACAATCCATAGTTGAACATAGTCATGAAAACTGTCTATGGTTACCATACTGTGGATGGATGAAATCCTGCACCAGTTGGTAACTATTGGGAACTATAAAACACTGTAAATAATGGGATTACAATGGGATAAACCATCTACTAACTGGTGCAGGATTTCCTCCATCCACAGTATGTTACCATACTTGACATCCCAAGTTACAACCCACAACACTGGGACGAATGGGATAAGACGTCCAAATTCTGTTCTTGTTTGGGGATTGGTCTTGTGACGGCGAGTTGGGCCCAACCATCCACCAAGGCCTGGTTTTAAATGCGATGGCGCGTCGCGATGGCGCGGAGAAAAAAACACATCCTGGATATTTGAACATTTGAGCTGGGTGGGACTTGATGACTTGAATGAGTATATATATATATATACTGTACATATATATATATATTTATATGCCAGCCTCCCGTACCCCATAATATATATATATATATACATATATATATATACATACATACACCAAATACCCTGCTAAACAAATGAATACTGTATTTGCCAAGGCCAAGTATTCAATCATCATAATCAATGTGACTTGAACGTAAGCAGACCATGAACCATGGGCGATACCCAGGAATCAGAAAATATATGGCAGCAGCCGTTGCCTTTCACGCTTGAGTTTTCAAGTTAATGTTAGTAAAGCGATGGTAAACCACCTATATGTTGATGGTTTATACAGCCCATTTATGGTAAAATTGGGGATGGTGGATCCTATTGCTTTACTGACACTAGATCATTCGTTAGTATCTCTAGCTGGGGTGAAGCCCGCAACAACGGATACGTGAAGTCAAGCATGGCATAGACAAATCAAAATAAAGCTGTTGCACTGTTTTGCTTGGTGTTTTGTGCTCCTTGTCCGGCGCATGCCAAAGTGCAGCGCAAACTAGCAGAGGCAGGTGCGTGCCCAGGGGAGAGGATTTTGTTTTGATGATGATGAGATGATGGTGGTGGTGGTGATGATGATGAAATTATGATCATAGGATGAAAATAAGACGTCAATCATGATATGATCATAAGACGACCATGAGATGATGCTCATATGATGATGATCAAAAGATAATGAACACAAGATGATGATCACAAGATGATGAGACTGCAAGATGTATAGGCCAGGAATGACAAAGTTGGTATTCCCGAAGAATCAACGGGTAGGTACCAGTTTTATATGTTTGTTTATGTTTGTTTGATGTTCTTGCCGCAGCGGCTTTTGATGTAGTCACTACTGAACCTGCTTGAAACGTTTGTTTGTGTTTTCGGCTTTTTGTTGTTTGGGGTTGAAGGAACAACTATATATATATGTTCAATATATATATACATATTCATTATATATATATATATATATATGTTCAATATATATATATATATACATATTCATTATATATATACATATTCATTATATATATATATATGATTCTGTATGTGTATATACATATATATACATATGCATTTAATATTCTATATATATATATACATATGTATGAACACATGTGTTCTCTATCTTCCTAGCGCCGTGAACATCGGCTATTCCTGATTCGATCTTCAGGATTAAACTGTGTTCACCCTGGTAGTCTTCTGTTCACATGTGGTAGTTGATGGATGTTCTTCCCATTTCCCAAAAATATGATGGATCAAAGGTTTTCAGAGGGTTTGATAGTTTTGATCCATTCCGATGTTTTCGCAGTGTTCAAAACACCTGTTGATTGATTAATTATTACCCTCTGGTAAACTAACATAACTGTGGAAAATCACCATTTTTTTATGGGAAAACTCACTATAAATGGTCATTTTCAATAGCTATGTTAGTTTACCAGAGGGTACATGGGGTGATTGGGTATGATCACAATCCATTGTGGGAAATCCTATGGAAACCAGCCAGGCCAGAAGGTTTGTCGTGTCAGCATCCACGATGGGGCCAAAGGAACCGGACCGACTCAAGTCGGTCGGAAAATGGGTGGAATATGTTGGAATATAGATAAATACTAATACTTATATACACATTTTAATGTAGTTCATGTCTATGCATATATTATATGTATAAAACACATATATATATATACAACTGTGTATGTGTGTGCCATGGTCAAGTTACTTGAGTAGATTGCCCAATGTTGGTGAAATGGTCATCAACCGATTAATAGTGATTTATATACCCATGACTGTGGTCATGTCTGTCCGTCCATCTATCAACTTTCTCCAGGAGTCCAATGAGGAAGCGATGCTGCGCTTGATGGCCAAAGGTAAAGGTGGTGGTAAAGGTGGCAAAGGTGGTAAAGGCTCGGGGGAAAGAAAGGGCTGGAGGTGATATTTAGATCTGTCAGTGGGGCATTTCTACCTCAAAATGCCTACATTAACAGGAACATGTTTGGGCGAGATGAGATACCCACAAAACAGGAACGTTAATGGTAAATATGATTGATTATGATCAGCTGATTCACCATGTTTTTCATTGGGCGTCCCCTATGTTCAGACGCAAAGATGATCATAATATCACATCATAATACATATTTTTCTATCATATTAATATGAGTTTGTGACCATATAACACAAGGATGTATATATATTATATATATATAAATTTAGTGCCTCATATATTGTGGCCATATATATATACATTATACATAATACAATCAGAGGCATCGCTGGCGAAACGGTGCGCAAGCGCATCGTATCGTCATGGAGATCCAACAATGACCCTGGTGTCATGTGGTGCCCATGTCGAGCAACAAAATATGTTGGTCGGTGCCAGCAAAACGTCTAAGCTGCTCAGAAATTGGGGAATAACATCAGTATCTGATTGGTGGTTTGGAACATGGCTGGTATGACTTTCCATATATTGGGAATCTCATCATCCCAACTGATTTTCATATTTTTCAGAGGGGTTGAAACCACCAACCAGTCAGTATGTGCTTTGGATTTCTGTTGTATGTGTTTTTTTTGCACGATGGCATTTGTTGGAGCTACATCACGTTCTCCCAGCGTCTTTGGTGACATTCAAGGGGTAACACACCCAGCCTTTGTTCTTGGAGCTACAACTATTAACTATAACAGATGTTTATGCCCCAGCATTTTTTGGATCACTATCCCCAACGTGAATGATTTTTAAATACGCATTAGTATAATGATCATATAATATCTAACAATATATATATATATACATTACATGTTTATGTTTTTATACATAGTGTAATGCAACTATATATGTATATACATATGGTATTCAGAATATATATATATACATCATAACACAATTTACATGTATTATTACGCATTATGTGTATATATATAATATAACGTGTACTGCCCCTGGGCCAGGCAAGGGCGGCAAGGGCGGCAAGGGCGACCGAAAGGGTGGGCCTCCCAGCAGTGATGAACTGCCAGAAACGAGGCGCGTCGAGCTGTGCCCAGGCAACGAGGACTCCAAGGAGTGCTGGAAAAAAGATGTGGAAACACTCCAGAAATATGGCTATGAATCAATACCTATTAATACCATTTTTAGTGGGATGAACATCCATTTACCAGCTATTTTTATGTTCACCAGGGGTACAAGGTTTTGACCCACTGCCATATCCAGAAATCGTGAATCAATGGGATTTAAATTATGAGTCAAGCATTCAAGCATCAAACTTCATGAACCATGGGAGTTTGTTTTTCCCCACCTGCCAGGTGAGGGTTGTTAGATTTTATGTCAGTTGCCTCCTCCTGCCTCCTCCTGACTCCTGCCTCGTCCTCCTCCTCCTCTCCTCCTCGTCCTCCTCGTCCTCCTCGTCCTCCTTGTCATCCTTGTCGTCTCGTCCTTGCTCAACTGCGACCCGCGATCCACAGTGTTCCCTGCCGGACCTCAACCACGACCATCCATGCCCAGTGTTCCCTGCCGGACCTCAACCGCGACCATCCCCGCCCAGTGTTCCCTGCCGGACCTCAACCACGACCATCCACGCCCAGTGTTCCCTGCCGGACCTCAACCGCGAGTATCCACGCCAAGTGTACCCTGCCGGACCTTATATAGGAAGATAAAATTTCAGATAGAGTGCCAGAAGATTTGCCAGGTAGAATGCCAGAAAATATGCCAGAAGATATGCCAGATAGAATGCCAGATAGAATGCCAGATAGAATGCCAGAAGATATGTCAGAATATATGCCAGAAGATGTGCCAGATAGAATGCCAGATAGAATGCCAGAAGATATGTCAGATAGAATGCCAGAAGATATGCCAGATAGAATGCGAGAAGATTTGCCAGATAGAATGCCAGAAGATATGCCAGATAGAATGCCAAATAGAATGTCAGAAGATATGTCAGATAGAATGCCAGAAGATGTGCCAGTAAGAACATGTTTAAATGTCATGGTGGGGATCACACAAAGTAAAGTAATTTTGGATTAAGGGAAAAACAAGCGGGAACCCTTGAGATTTCCTCGGAAAATCGATGGTTTCCGGTGACAACTTTCCCAAAGAACCTATCCTGAGCCATGAATCCGCGAAGATTTGATATCAAGGGAGATCGCTAGACGGATCATGATTAATTGTGCATATAGTTATGTAGATTCTATGGAAAGCAAAACTGGTTGGTTGTTCCAAACATATTTTTGTACCCTGGAATATTTGGTTCTGGATTTAAACCACCAACCATGTGTGGTGTTCCTTGAAACAGTGTAGGACTCGATGACCCATGAAAATCATGTCCCTGTCAACCCAGCACGGCAAGAACAACGAGGCAACCGGCAGCAAACACGGGGACTGCCCAACAAAGATTCAACATAAATCAAGCTGCAATTTTCATCAATTTTCATCAACAACTGCAAACATGAGAAACTCAGCCACGCAAACATGGGGGATATCGCGAACGTGCAGAATTAATCAACAAAGATAGCGATTTCATCAACTGGTTTAGCCAGGTTTCTAATTCATGAGCAAGGGAACCATATGGATATGGTGAGTTTGTAGCTGTATAACTTAGCAACCCTCCACCCACGTCAGTGTAGATGATGGCCACGATATGAACGCAAAATTCCCCTTTCCCTCCACCCTCCAATCAACGGGAAAACAAATTAAAACACAAAAAAAATCTGATTCAGGTTTATGTGAACAGACCATAAAAGACCGGCCATAGTCACAAGCAATTCATGGTTCATCAATGTTAATCATATATGATTTAAATATAAATATATGCATTTATATATATATATATACATATATATATATATATATGTAGAGTTTTTCCCACCAAGGCAGTTTTCATGGGACCCATTCCCAATTTTCGCCGTGCCAAGCCACAGCCCTTAGGTGTGCAGAGCTGGATGAATTCGTCGCGAGCTCCAAGACGCAGCTGCAGATGTCCAGCAGCATCACTGGACTTGAGCGGAAGTTCCTGCATGAGCAGGCAGAATTGTGTGGTTCCAAATGTCCATTCATAGGTTTTAATGAATATATATATATATATATATATGATTATGTACATGTACATTTGCATGTTTCCATCACAAATTGAGGATATGTATGTTGTTTTATTACAGTGTTTTTCCTCGTGAGATTGGATCCGTTCTTGTGGAGCCACGGTCCGTGAAGATCCCATGGTGTATCATCAATGATTAAAGGATTTGTTCGATTCAATAGCCCATTTCTGGACGTCCATATCCATTTTAGCATACAGTAATCCTCATGTTTGATGGTGACAGTCTTAGCTTTTCACAATTTTTGATTGTTAAGTCCCAAGTTATTTCCTATGTTTGTCGATTAAACGATTATTTTCCATAGCATCACCAGGATTTTTAAGAGACCGAGACCGAGCAGCTCCCCAAACCTCCCCCCGCGCTTGCAAGGCTGAGCTTCGAAATTTAACCACACAATCCTTTGGGCAAGGACGAGAGCGATATATTTGTATCTTGGGCTGCAGGGCTGTGTCATTGGTTGCTTTCTGATGTCTTGGTTGATATAGTGGGATATCATATGGATGTAATTTGGGATGATAAAATGGGATACAAAATGAGATATAAGACCATGTGCAGACCCATAACAATATTGATTGTTAATTACATTTAATCACCGTAATCAAAAGGGAAAAGCATTAGGGCTACACGGCTACACCATTTGCGGACACACCCATATATAATGTGTATATATATCATTTTATATCATATCTCTATATATTTACAATGATATGTACATGTTGTTTCATGTTACTGGGTTGTTGGATGTTGGTGAATTCGTTGTTTGACTTGTGTTTGACAACAAACTTCCTTGACTGTCAAGTGGAAACATAGTTTACTTATCATTCACATATGGTTTTGTTTGAACATATGATGCGCCAAAATATGATTGACTATGATCGAAGTAGCATGTTCATGAAATAACGACTGATACGAAAGGGTACACATGATTTTAAGACAAAACCATATCTGGTTGGTGGTTTGGAACATGGCTGTTATTTTTCCATATATTGGGAATTTCATCATCCCAACTGACTTTCATATTTTTCAAGATGGTTAAAACTGTAAACCACCAACCAGATATGTTTAATGCTTGCAGAGCTCTTACAACTTGCGGTCGAATCAGCCGCCAGATTTCATCCAGCGCCAGGTATCTTCAAGGAGGCCGTGAAGAACTCAGACCGGAAAATCGACGGGACAATGGTAACGTTCAGGATGGTAATGGTAACCCTCCCAAAGATAGAACAGCAAAAAGAACAGTACCCTCTGGTAAACTAACATAGCAATGGAAAATCACCATTTGGAATAGGTAAATCAACTATAAATGGGCCATTTTCAATAGCTATGTTAGTTTACCAGAGGGTAATTCACTGACTTGGTAGGCTTGGATTTTTTTGTCTTGATCAAATGGGGCGTTGCTGCGTTTGTGTTCCTGAAAGTTGTGCATTTAAATTAATATAAACAGCCAAAGTTTGACACAGAAAACCATGTGTTTGCGGGTTTCTGAAGCTGATGCCCTTCCGGATATTATCAAAGTTGATCTAAGTCTCTAGTCTTCATTGAATTGTCATCCCCTAAGTGGCTTTGTTTAACCATTGTTCCGTGAAAAAAACACCAGAGTTTGATAGTTTAGATATGTTTAACAAATCATTTTCATTCATTTTCCCTGTGAATTGCCATTTGGTGGTTTAAAGCTTACCCTCCGGTTATTAAACATAGCTATTGAAAATGGCCCATTTATAGATGATGTTCCCAGCTAGAAACCTGCATAAATGGAGGGATTTTCCATGGCTATGTTAGTGATAACCAGATGGTTTATCTGTGGCTTTTGGTCTGATCTCGAAAAATCGATGTGTTTTTTTTTTGGCAGGTCGCCGTGGCGCCAGTGCTCAGTGAGTTTGCTGCCACCGAAGGTGGCAGCTCAGGGATGCTCGGTTCAGATGGTGTGGACTGCGGGTGATGGCCTTGTTGCTTTTTGGTGGGATTTGGGTATGGATCAATACCTATTAATACCATTTTTAGGGGAATGACCATCCATTTACCAGCTATTTTGATGTTCACCAGGGGTACAAGGTTTTGACACACTGCCATTTCTTCTTCAATGTGGGATCTGAGTGGGTTTAATATGGTTTTACCATGTTTTACCAACACGTGACTGGTTGGTGGTTTGGAACATGGCTGTTATTTTTCCATATATTGGGAATTTCATCATCCCAACTGACTTTCATATTTTTCAGAGGGATTGAAACCACCAACCAGATGACATGGGATTTGAATGGCTCTAAATCACATCGGCATCGGTTTCAACAAGGCGAGACTTGGGATCAACATCTATATGAGTCTATATGTATGCCCCAAATGCTGATTAGCATGCAAAATCTTCATCTTCGCGCGTTTCAAACATTGGTTCCATCAAAGATTTGTTTGGATTGGTCTCATCTTCGATGACAATCGATGGCTCAACTACCAGAGAGGTATACCGAAGGTACCCACCACTTCCGCCCTGAGGGCGGTGTCGTACTCTGCGGTCTTTTTGGATGAAGAGAGCCAGCAAAAGATCATTGACTTTTGCAGGAGGCAGGAGGCACCAAATTTTTGGTTTGGTGATGTACAGTGGATGTATGTGGATGTTTGTGGATGTGTACAGGAACGATATAAAAAAATACTTTACTTCGTGTGATCCCCACCATGACATTTATAGATTTTCTTACTGGCAAATCTTCTGGCATTCTATCTGACATATCTTCTGGCATTCTATCTGGCATATCTTCTGGCATTTTCTTGTGGCATTCTATCTGGCAAATCTTCTGGCAATCTATCTGGCATTCTATCTGGCATATCTTCTGGCATATCTTCTGGCATATCTTCTGGCATTCTATCTGGCAAATCTGATGCATTCTATCTGGCATATCTTCTGGCATTCTATCTGACATATCTTCTGGCATTCTATCCGGCATTCTATCTGGCATATCTTCTGGCATATATTCTGACATATCTGCTGGCATTCTATCTGGCAAATCTTCTGGCATTCTATCTGGCATTCTATCTGGCAAATCTGATGCATTCTATCTGGCATATCTTCTGGCATTCTATCTGACATATCTTCTGGCATTCTATCTGGCATATCTTCTGGCATATATTCTGACATATCTTCTGGCATTCTATCTGGCATTCTATCTGGCATATCTTCTGGCATATGTTCTGGCATATATTCTGACATATCTCTGGCATTCTATCTGGCAAATCTTCTGGCATTCTATCTGGCATATCTTCTGGCATTAGATCTGACATATCTTCTGGCATATCTTCTGGCATATCTTCTGGCATTCTATCTGGCAAATCTGATGCATTCTATCTGGCATATCTTCTGGCATTCTATCTGACATATCTTCTGGCATTCTATCCGGCATTCTATCTGACATATCTTCTGGCATATCTTCTGGCATTCTATCTGGCAAATCTGATGCATTCTATCTGGCATATCTTCTGGCATTCTATCTGACATATCTTCTGGCATTCTATCTGGCATTCTATCTGGCATATCTTCTGGCATATCTTCTGACATATCTTCTGGCATTCTATCTGGCATTCTATCTGGCATATCTTCTGACATTCTTTCTAACTTTCTTCTGCACATTCTTTGTCCCATATCTTCCTACATGAGGTCCGGCAGGGAACACTTGGCGTGGATACTCGCGGTTGAGATCCGGCAGGGAACACTGGGCGTGGATGGTCGTGGTTGAGGTCCGGCAGGGAACACTGGGCGTGGATGGTCGTGGTTGGTCCGGCAGGGAACACTGGGCCGGCTCGCGGTTGAGGTCCGGCAGGGAACACTGGGCGTGGATGGTCGCGGTTGAGGTCCGGCAGGGAACACTGGGCGTGGATGGTCGTGGTTGAGGTCCGACAGAGAACACTGTGGATCGCGGGTCGCAGTTGGACGAGGAGGACGACGAGGACGAGGAGGACGACGAGGAGGACGAGGAGGACGAGGAGGAGAGGAGGAGGAGGAGGAGGACGAGGCAGGAGGCAGGAGGAGGCAACTGACATAAAATCTAACAACCCTCACCTGGCAGGTGGGGAAAAAAAAGTAAATTCTCTTGGTATCAGAGCAGTGGTTTGCCGTGTTCTATACATTTTACTCGTACTTATATATAACTTTATAACCTACATCAAACAACATGTTTCATTTGGCAAAATCCTGAATTCTGTCAAATTTCACATTGCTGTGATGTTTTTCTCCCAGCTGATCTACCGTATTCACCGATGAATTTAACGCTCGCCAGGACGGTTCCTGGTGGTATTCCTCATCGCTGGAAGATGCATCTCTGGCCACCAGGGATGGAGCTTCGTAAGGGACGCGTTCAGGGGATGTTTATCACCAAAATGGCCTGAAATTCAGGGAGAGATTCCATGAAACCGGCCCCTCTATTTCTCCAAAAAGGAACATCGTGTTTGGGTTGGGATCTATCTTCGATATTCAATTTTCTTCAATGATGCAGTGTGTGTTGCTGGGGACTGTTCTCAAACTTTGGATAATTTGGGATTTCAAAATGATTGGCACCAGCACCAATAATCGATAATATAGACTCTACCTTCGCATTTTAAACGCATGATCATGTTAATTCTATTGTAAGTCCTATTTGCTGTTTGCATGGTTAAGTTTTGATTGTAGAATAGCATGTTGATATTATACATATTTATACATTATAAACCCAAAAACTATTGATAAAATTCAATGTTTGTTGCTACATCCCTATTTCGTTTGACGAACCTACAAATTCTGACTGGTCTAATTGTCCTTTTTCATGAGTAACATCCATCCTTCAAACAGTCAGTGGTTTGCATTTATTTGCTATATTGACATATTAGCTCTTTAAATTGCGCTGGCTAAAATAATGTCAATTTCTCCTGGTTAATTATATGGCTACGAGTCAAAATGTAAAGCCCCGATCCATACCCTGAACCCACAGGCCGATCCATACCCCCGATCCATACCAAAACCCAAGTGATCCAGACCGATCCATACGTCTGGATCACCGCGGGCCGATCCATACCCGAATTTTGACGCAACTCCATATAGGTCCAAGATTTATAGATATTCACTAGGCTTAGAATCTGTGGAACTGTTGATTTATAGGGGCTTGGACTAGTTGGAATCTTGAAAATCGCCGAGGTATTGCGACCATATGACCATTTGCGTTGGCGCTTTGAGCAATCCCAAGACCGAGGACTTTCGCTCCGTAGTTCCTGGGACACAATGTGCTGGATGTGTCTGAAACTGGGGTAGAACGGTATAACATGGTATAACCCCCAGTTGTGGCAATATGATTGGGGAATGATAAAGCCCGTGGATGGAGTGGGGCATCCTATTTTCTTCTTTTTCCAGCAATTCGGATAGTACCCGGCCCAGCCATTGAAATTGGCCTTTGAAGATGTGATGTGCACATGATGAGGTGTTTTGATTCATGTCTTCGTATGATTTAGAGATTTATTGGGGGGTTGTCGCATGTAATACGGCCTGTTGCCCAACCAACCAGCAAATTTGCCAATGTTGCGCGGCCTGGTGACCAGGGGGGCACTATTGGGAAAAAGGCATCTTTTTCAAACGCGTGTTGTGTAAAGAAATATGTATATGAATACATATGAATACCTCAGACATGTATATAGTTTAGTCCCCTCTCCTGAATAAAGGGGATTTTCCAGCCAGTCAGCCAATTTCGTGTTTCGTATGAGGTACGCCTCAAGGAGAGTATGGCGACCCTAGTAAGATAGACTACTTGCTTATCCAATTGGTGAATTTTTGCAAGGGGGGCCGTCTTTCAAAAAATCACAAAAACACTCTTTTCGTGTCCTCAAACTGAGCCTCAAACAGAGCCTCAACAAGTCTTAGTTTATTGCGCAGGGGCTTTGAGTGAGGGGCGCTTGCGCCCAAAGACCCGAAACATCTAAACAAAAATGAGGACAACGGCAGCCGGACAGCCTCCGGGCTCAAGTTGTTGCCCCAACCGTGTCCACGCAGCATCCAAGCTGTGACATCTAGTGTGCTAAAGAGCCGTCAGATGTTGCAGTTCTTGCCCGAACGTCTGGCTCCAGAACTCAAGTATCAACGACAGAGAACTTGCACGCTCGTGTCTCCACAGGCACTTGGGAAAGCAGAACAATCCTGTCCATTGCATCCACATCCTTCACGATGGTCATGTCTGAGCACGACATCTTCACACGACACGTTTAAGCTTCTGAGAGTGTAGGAAAACATGCTTCAACAGGGAAGATAATCGGATACTTCGGCATCGAACCAATTGCGATCGGTGTAGGGCACCGCCCAAGAAGGAAGATCGACATGACATACCAACTTCCCCAAATTTCCTCAACATCTGCTGACACGGCACACCGGTAGGATTTGGGCCAACACTAATCTTATTTTAGCGCGAAACACTATCCACTGAGGCCGGCAATGTCCAGCAGCAGATTTCCAGTGACTTGACTGGCGCCACCAGATGTTCTTTTTTATGGTTATCCCATGAGGTAACCATTTTACGGAAAGCTTATAGGAATCTTATGAATGATATGGATTATATTGAAGAAAAGTGGTCATGCTGCACCAATGCGCTATAGCTTCCATCATTTTAGAACGGGCTTGAGTCCGTTCTATGTTTAGAATGTTTTAAGTCATCAGGGTCCCGTCGTATACCCATGGATGGTAGCCAGTTACCATCTGGAATGGTCCCATCCTGCTAGTCCAAACTTAGAAAATGTTGGAAATCTGAGAGTTGAATTGAATTACCCGCAAGGTGGGCCCCCAGTTATGGGTTGGTTTATTTCATTCACTTATAAGTTTGGTTCCTAGCCGATAGATTCGTTCGATTTCAGGAGTGCACTCTATCTTTGAGCCCCCTAAAGTTGCAGGATTCGCTTGTTCCCACATCAGTCATCGTTTGCCCCTGGGAAGACCCCTCACAGTTAGGACTCAGGACCCATAGTTGTTTGGTTCATATCTTATATTTCTTGCATGGACGGTTCCAGGAAAACTCCATCTGTTATATTTACGGGTTTTTAATAGAAAACATCATCCTGTGTAAAATCCCTTATAATTATATATAAATCGATTGAAATATTTACCTTTCATTAATATCTCAGTTCCAAGGGCAGTAACACAGTATTGATGCATGTTCTAGGGCAATTTGACCAAACAGTCACCTGGACACTGTGCATTTCTTTGTGTTTAGATTTTAAATGATCTGCTTTGCCCATTTGTTAACCAATAATTTTGGTAAAAGGGGCACACTTTAAATGATACATAACGGTACAAATACAATTACAAATCCCAATTTTTCGTGGAGATTTTCCCCTGGTTCTCATCCCAGCTGGATCGGAGGATCGGATCATTCCGTCCATGTGTTGAAAAACATCTGGCCCAGTTTTGGTTTGGAAAATGGGAGGTTTATACAAAACATGTTCTACTTGGGTTTGTGCTGGATACCTCCCAAGGATATCTCCCATAACTATCGTTTAACATGTTTGACATCACGGTTCTTGGCATTTTACTAAAGTTGAAGAGGTGATCTAACCGGTCAAATTTGGCGGTAAACTTCACATTTTGTTCCCTCCTTGGCATGTCTTGGGATGGTACAGCTACAAAGCAAAAAGAAACATACTTGAAAAAACAACCAGATTCCCCTATAAATCCAAACACTTCCTTATTTAGAAACTACTTCAAGTCCTTTATTTTTTCCCCAAACACTTCCTAAACTGAGAAGCTGCGACATTCATTGCGATGTAGGGATCATCCCCCAACAAAAAATCCAAGGATACCAGGAGGGCCAAAACTTCGAGTTGAAGGTGGTCTCCTTCGGTCACAACGAGGATGCCATCGCCGTGGGCGTCCTGGGCTGTGTGTCCTGCAACCGGAATCCCCACGTTACGGCGCCGCGGTGGCAAGTTTTTTTGGGGACCAACTGACCATAACTGGCCAAGCTCGACGGTGGAACTTCCCAATTTTGGATCATTGATTTTTGTTCACCTCAACATGGTGGGCAAGTGGCGTATAGAAGCGAGTTGGAAGAAACTTGTAGCAACGTCAGGTGTGATGGCTAGTACTGGTATTTAAGGTGATTTAGTACACCATAGTTACATATTTGGTTGGTGAATTGTCATGATTTAGCACGGTTACTTCCATATCCATGGAAATATATTCCGGGAATCAATCGTAAAAAAAATGAAAGGGATAAACACAAATAAACATACGAAAGTGCTGGTTGTTGCTGTATAGTGATGTTCTTGCCGGTGTTTGTTTTCGCAGGAACCCAAGGACTCCAAGGAGAAATGTTGAAGGATCATCCACATCCAATGCATCACCCCGAGGCTGATGAAAGCACCAAATGGTAAACTTATGTAAACTTAGTACTTTGGTAACTTTGGTATTTGTTCCATCCTACTTCGGATAGGTGGAAACCAAACAGTTGTATCAAATTGGCGAGAATCCATACCCAGAACAGGCTAGAATCCAATCATATCAGGTCAAAGGAGTTAGAAACCACTTTCTACCCATGTTTTTTGGCGTGTCCACCTCCCTGAATTGAACATTTGCTCCTTATTGATGGTTATTGTTATTGATAACAAATTATTAAAACATATCGATTTCAGGCCCCATACTTTGGAGGTCCGTGTGAAAAAACATCCCCATGACGCTTTGCTTATCTTTGTTGCAAATCCCCGCATGTGCTGTTTAAAGCGCCAAATTTGATGTTAAGTCCATGGTTAAATCAAATCAACAATTGTGATGGTAGATCCCTGGCTAAATCTTGTTAAATCATGTAAAATCACCAATTATAGTGGTCAATCCCTCAGTTTTTAGACTGTTCTTAGGTGGTCTCTGTTGTGTTTCCCAGCCTGCCGGCTTGGCGCCATACCTTTGCGCGTGGTCCTAGGTGTCGACAGCTCCGCATGCGGCACCAAGCACCAGCAACTGGGCCCCTGGAGGCCTTACCAGTACCATATTTACCCAGATAAATGAACCTTGAAAGATAGTGTCATAGAGTAACTTAGGTGATTCTTGGCACCCGTGTTTTTGGAATAGGAACAACCCCCAAAAGAATGTAGAAACGTATTGTAACATTAAATTCCCAAATAGTGGTAAGTTTGCCCGTTTCCTGGATCGTTTTCGGACCTTCCATATCTTTCCATTCATGTCCATTCTATTTCAATGTTCTGTTTTTTTCCTGGCGATCAGCATTTGGATGACATGAGTTGCTGCTGTTTTGTTTGACATGGGTTTCAGAAGTATGATTTTGGACATTTGGATGGGATCCAGGTAGAGATAAGCATAAGATAGGCAATCAAATGCATAATTTGGACAGAGACACCAGGTTAGCATGTTCAGCTACCCTTTGACAAACATGGCACCAGCCAATTTCTGATTTGTTCGTGGCTAGTGAAAATAATGATGTGTACTATGAGAATGACCAACTAGTTGAAAACTATTCGGAACTGTGAATTGGTTATTTGTTTTGATAAGAGACCAGTGAACACGGATATATTCCATTTCTATCCTGAACTGACAAGGCTATTATAAATGAATACCCTCTGGTATTGTTTCAGGTAGCTATGGAAAATCACTATGTTTACTAGGTAAATCAACTCTAAACCCATTTTCCATAGCCATGTTAGTTTACCAAAGGGTATGTAAACATCATAAATCCATAATATATATATATACTATGGGATATATAAATCCTCTATTCCATGGACCATGTTCCATAGCAGACTCTCTAGCCTACAGGGATGAGCCGTATGAAGTCGATGCTTTGGAAGTGGTTTGAATAGATGCTTCTAGATATAATTTTAGGATATAGTATTATGGATATGTATATATACAATATGTTATGTTATATTATACTATATTAGATCAATATATTATATTATATATTATATTATATATTATATTATATATTATATATTATATTATATATTATATTATATATTATATTATATATTATATTATATTATATTACATTATATTATACTATATTACATTATATTGTACTATACTATGTATATTATCTTATTTTATATTATATTATATTTATATGTATATTGTTTAATATTATTATAATGAATCCCACATTCTCCTGATATAAATTCTAGTGTGCATTCAAAACAACAACAACAACAACAACAACAATAATCTCAGTGATAGTGAACTCCTGAATCCACCACCAGCATTCACGCATTGACTTCATCCGGATTCCTGGGTCCAGCCATGTTCCGAGGCAATTTGATCAAGAAGTTGCTGGGACGACTGACCAATCGACGGGTCTGGAGGGAACATGGGTTGGGTACCCCGTGGGGGAATGATCGACGTTAGTGATCTACCCACGGGACCTGACAGTACCACAGTAGATTTCATGGTACCTGTCTCACCTTCCCAGTTCAAAACACATTGAAAATTGTAGCCAAATCCCAATGTTTCTTTATATTGAAAGCCTCATAAAGACAAGCCAATCTTTATACACCTTCAACTGGACCCTCCATTTACCCATAAAAACTGGATTCTCCGCATCATTTCAGTACCTTTGCATACACACCTTTACCATTTTTACACCACAAAAGTATGATTTACCATGTTCATCCATTTTCATTGGCTCATAGCTTAAATGTTAAATTTGCAAAAGTGCTGAAATGATGGGCAAACACCAGTTTTTATTGGTATGAATTGGATGTTTTTCAGCTTAAAATCTGGTTTGCACTTGTGTGAACTAAAGGATTTTCAGCTAAAAATAAGGTGTGTATTTGTTGGAATTGAAGGTGTTTCAGCTAAAATCAGGCTTTATGGGCGAATTTATGATTTTTGGCTAAAGGTGTACAATGTATATATATATATACATATTATACAGTATATATATACATATTATATATATACATATTATATATATATAGATAAATACTTTATATATATATATACACATAAATACATATATATATATATATACAGTGTACATGTTTCCACATTCGAACGGCTCAGGTGGACCATGCTCTCCTCCAATGATCAGTTCACGGTCACTGGGCAGCTGTGGCAGCAGGGCGGGAAGCAGCGCAAGCAGCGCGGGGCCGCTGCTGGCAGTGCAGAGGCGGCTGAGGCTTGGAGAAAACCTTGGAGTTTCCGAGTACCAGGTAGATATATAGTAGATATAATAACCCCCTAAAAGGTAGAACAGTGATTGATTTATGACTATTGTGACCCTCAATGGAGTCACAGTGGTGCAGAGATCGACCTTTTTCTACGAAGCTTAAGCCCCACACGCTCAGCACCTCACAATCAGATGTGAACGACATCAACATGGGATAGTGCTATTCACATACCCCCGACTCAACATGTTGATGTCTCTCTTTTAATTTGCCACGATTCTTCGAATCAGTACTTCTCTTCAATTCACGTTCTTTCACACGCCACTCCAGGGATTCTTCTTCGCGGATCAGAATAAATTTTCCAAATCGCAGCACAAAAAGCATGAAGTCAGAACAAGCGTTGCACTTTGTTAATGCATCGCTCAACATTTGTCGTGTGTCTACCCATCGAATCTCTGAGTTTGAGGCATAAAGGTCGCGTCGGACCAGCAACATGTCAATTGCAACCCTTTTGTCTTTGACCACAACCCCAGTTCCCTTCGTATGATCGTAAAGAGGTTTGTTATCCACAACCAAAACCAAATCCATCCTATCCCGAAACACACGGTCTCTTTCAAGGGTATAGTCAGGATACAACGCTTCAGCAAAAACGCTTCTCAGCCAATTTCCTTCAGCCAGTGTTCTGGCTGCGCTCATGAGTTCTGCCCCCAGGGTGGACTGCGTTTTTCTCTCAAGCTTGTATGACTTCCATCGCAGTGGTGTCACATCCGCCCACATGTTTTCTTTGATTCTTTTATCAGCAAGCAACAAGAAATAACCGGCTTGACTACCTAACGTTTCAGTGTTACTCCAACTGGCATCAGAGGTAGACACAAGAACCGCATGTTCAAGAGGAATACTTTTATAAACGATCTTCACATGACTAAAATCCCTGATTTTACTCTCAAGTTTATTAGCATCAATCAAATCAGAAACAGTGGCCCTACTCACTCTCTGTTGAAGTTGCGCTGTCAAAACTGCAATGTCAGGACGTGTGCTGCCAACAATCCAATTGGCAGTCCCAAGAACACCCCTAAACGCTTTGAGTTCCGCATCAGTCACCCGTGACTCTTTTGCTTTTCGACGATCCTTGGAAATAAAGATGGTTTGAACAGAATTGGAGTAATGTTGTTGATCAACTTCGATGGAAAAATCCTCTTTCTGAGCCAACCTGCGACCTAAAAACTCGCCTTTCTTCTGAACCCAATGTTTGAAGGGGTACGTCTCTCTCAGTCTTTTCAAAACATGTTCCTGAAAAAACCTGTCGCCTCCCAAGATCATGTCGTCAACATGCAAGGCAATAGTCCCAGAAAGATTACCTAGGTGATGATACCAAAACACACACGGATCCAGTTCACTTTGTCGCATGCCACATTGTTTCAACGTTTTGCACATGGAATGCCACCACCTCAAAGGCGCATCATTCAACCCATACACGCATTTCTTTAGTTCCACAAGCGAACCCTCTGGAACCCCTGGCACACCATCTTTGGGCAGCCGAATGAACAAAGGACCATTCTTTCTTTGGAACATGTCCCCTTGAAGAAATGCACCTTCCACGTCCGCAATCTCCAGTAACCAGTGTTTTGAAGCAAGCAGTTGAAGCACCACGGCCAGACCGTCGGCTGACAGTGTTGGGCTTTGTCTCTCAAGCACATCCAGGTCAGGATCTTGAAAACCTTTTATAACCCAGCGACATTTGATGTCATAGCCACTGCCAGACTCATGAACTTTTTTTGTTTTGACAAAACGCGACTCAATGATTCTTTTCCGATCCGTCTGCTCCAAAATTCTTTGCGCTTCTTGTCCAGTATGAACCTTGATTGCATCTGCTTTCAAGAGTTTGTCCCATTCGCTCATTTTTCCCACGCGCACTCTCTCCTGATCTGCTGTACTCTGCAAGTCTTTATCTTTCAGCTCAGCATGCTTCTTGTCCTGCGTCATGAAGCATTCCAGGTGTTCAGCCAGTATCTTTTCATGTCTCTTCATCTCATCAGTTGTGGTCCAGGGAGCCACCTCATAGACCTCGTTAGTCTCATTTAGGACTGAAATCTCGTTTTGCACTGGCGATCTTGCATTTCGAATATTTCCTTGATCCAGGATCTCTGTAGATCGGCGAAGTGCCTGCGTCAATTCAGTCGGTTCATATCGTTCTCGATGAGGTTCAGTTCGGACTGGGCCATACGACCTGTCCACCGCATCCGATGCACTACCAGGGTTGCGCACCGCTGCGCCAGTCGCTCCTTCTGCCGCTCCTTCAACTTCCATGTCTAGAGCTTGTTCCAGATCCAGTGACTGGCTCTGGCTCTCATCTTTAGTTGACTCTTCATTCACTTCGCTGTGATCTTCATCATTTGCCACTCCTTCATCCGCTCTCTCTTCCTCATCAACCTCCATGTTGCCTGCCACTTGTCTCGGCTGGCTCTGTGGATTATGAGGCAAAGGAGGCGACCCTTCTTTGGTGATGTCGATGAACGTTCTGGCTCCTCTGTTGGCTCCTCTCCCAGCTGATTTCAGAGCTTCTGGAGGAACAAATCGAAGAGCAGCTTCATGTTCTTCTGACACAGCTTGAAGTTGTACAGGGGAGCATCTCAACACTTTGTTGCCATGAGCAATCCACAGTTTCGAGCTGTCAATCTTGCCAATGACCCGAGCGGGTCCTTTCCAAATACCATACTTCTCACTCTCCTTTGACACACGCCAGTAATACACATAGTCACCAATGTCAAATTCAGGTTGAGGCCTCGAGCTATGTTCAGTTGCCCTCTTCACTTTATCAACATTGTCCATCTCAACCATTGCCCGTCTGGCTGCCAGTCGGATCTCAGTAGATCTGAGGCATGCATCATTTGGGTGGTATTCCGCCATTCCTTGAAGATATGTGCTATTTGCATGTGATATCCCAGGCAGTCGAATGTCACAACCAAATACATGTTGCATAGGACTGAATCCATGCTTTCTCGTCATCATATTCTTGGCGGCATTGACATGATCCGCCAGTTCTTCCAGTTCCTCTTTTGTTCTTGGCTGGGTCTCATCAAACGCTTTCAGAAAAAATTGTTTCCAGATTCCACCGTGTCTTTCGCATCGGCCATTTTGGTGAGGAGAGTAAGCAGCAGTCTTGTCAACAAACGTGTTGTCATGGTCAAACCCTTCTTGCATCTCACCATCAAACTCAGTTCCGCCATCTGTCAAAACTCGAACTGGTGCACCTGCCCACTTGAGCCAAGACTGACGATATGCTCTCCGGACTTCCTTCGTGCTGGCACCATTCCAAAGTGGACTACAAATCTGAAAGCCAGTACCCTCACAATAGACATTCAGCATCTTCAGTTTCTTACCATTGTAGGGAATTTCAAACGTGTCCATGCTCAACTGTTGGTTGAATCCTTCAGTCCTTCTGGTACTAGTAACTGGTCTGTGACCAGTCAGTCTTCGTGAGCTACATGTCGCACACCGAAGTTCTTTGGCAAACTTGATAGCTTCTTCACTAGCATTAGCACTCTTCAACAAATGAATGAACCGCTCACGACTGGGATGTCCAAGATTCACATGAGCCCTACGAAGTTTGACTCTCATGTTCGCAGCCCTCTCCTCTTGACTTTGGGGTCTCAGATCTCCCGAAAAAACTTCCATGACTTGATTTTGAACTTCTTTCCTAGCCAAGCTAACAATCTTCTCAACAAGTCCTTTGGGATAAACCTGAGCACACACTGACCGGTTCACCCAAACACCCCCACACTTGCACTGACCCTCGATGGCTTGGTGATTGTGGTTCCCATCACATTTTCGTTGCAACAGGTACCCAAACTTGGAATTGGTCAAGAATCTGGTGCCCTTTTTATAAAACCTTTTGTTTTGGGGGTCCTTCAATCCAAACATGCATTGATCAGCCCTGATTTCATGAACATCGGACATGTTTTTCACCTTGACAACCGATTCTTCATTCCAGCTGTCGGCCCCACTTGGATGTTCAAACAGGAAAATGCGTCCCTCGCTATGTTGCAGAACCGCCAGTTCCATCGCAAATTCCAACAGCACAACACCCTCGATTCTCTTCCTCTCTCTCTCTCTCTGGTCACATCTGTATTTGCTGATACGAAGCATTTGAGAGAAAGGACCACAAGGGGGAGATATGACAAGAACCCTGGGTTTCTGTTTTTTGATTTCCTCACGACATTTCTTCCTATGATCACTTCTGAGAAAATTCCATCCCCCGTACCCAGATCATACGATTTCCCCCCTCTCAGTCCCATTTTGTTGGCTTGTGGAACAACCCGTGGATTGGAAAACGCTTCTCCTACATCAACCTGTCCATGGTCAAGCTGAACATGAAAAATGTCATGACTTTCCTCGTGCGTGTGTTTTTCATGGTCATGATCACATGTGTCGATGTCTTGCATGTTTCTCATGAGTTCTTTCCTGACTCTCTTGCTCATGACGCCGCAACACTTTTCTTTTTCAGGCCACGCTTCATCACTGCGCTCCTTCCATATTGTCTGAAGATCATCCGCCGTCTTCACACTACGCTCTACATGTAGGTCATGTTCATCACAAACTTCGAGAGCATCGCCGGGTTCATCTGGTTGAGATGCATGCTCATTTCCTTCTCGCGAATGATCTGGTTGCGGTTCATCTGACCCACCATCTGACACCAGGCCTGCATGGCCTTCTCGTGCTTCTGGGCTGACTCCGCCTCCGAAATCATGGACCAGTGATCCACCTCCATTTCCTCTGATCCTCTCGGGGCTCCACGTGTCTTCAAGGACTTGGGCACGTTCCTGGCCTCCTTCATTCCAGGAAGTTTGGTCGCCGGAGTGCATGGTGGCCCCATATTCATCATGATGCCGGGAGTCGGTGAGAATGGCATCTGTATCTCCATCCTGTACTTGTTTTCGTCCATGCGAATCTTCTTCCTGTTGTCTCGGTAATGGACGTAGACCCTCAGCCTCTGCATCTCCAGGCAACTGTCCTGATTGATATGAGCCCGGACCCAGCGCACGTAGCTCTTGTCCTGCAGGTAGGTGCGTTCCACCGTCCAGAACAGCTTGTTCTTCGCGTACTTGCCCTCCTTGAGCACTGTGTTGGGTGGCACTGGAGACATCATCCCATCTTCTGGAGAATCTGGAAAGTCGTCCAATGCTCTCTCGTCCATTGGGCGAAGCGTCTGCTTCTGAGCCTGTTGGAGGTTTGTCATCATCTGGTTCACCATGTACATCTCGGCTTCGTTGGATGTGGAGCCCGGTGTTGGACTGCTGGTCCAGCCCCCGCCACCGAAGTAGGCTGCCATGGCTGCTAGTGCTACGTTCTACAAGTCTATCCTCCAGGCTCTCTTTTTCGAGACGCTCGAGGTTTGAAATATCAAACGAACGTTCTTCTGACTTCTTGCTTTTTGTTTCATCACAACCAGCAATCAAACAATCTCTACGGACAACACCAAAGTCAAACATCGGAATCGCATAGTGTCCCCGCTCAGTCTCCCCAAGGCGGACTTCAACACCGAGTCTACCAAACCAAGCACTATCACTACCAAGATCCAACCTGACTTTCATGTCCCGCAAAAACTCTTTTGACAATAACAAAGGAGTGCATTTCCCTTCATTCGGAAGAATCGAGGCTTTCAATGCAAAATGCTTTCCTCCAAGACAAGCTGGCAGAACTGCAATCTCTTTAGAAACTAAGGTACCTGAGTTGCCAAATCTAAAGGAAAATTCACCAGGAACCTTTCTGACCTTGTAGCCTTGTTTCATGAGATGGCGCTCTAATCTGCTCAGCGTGTATTCTCCAATGAGTGTGCGTCGGCATGCCGTGTCTGGCACGGCGTTCGTCTCAAGAATTGAATCAAAATCTACTGAGTCCGGTTCAACGCTCAGTACTTCTTCTTCGAAAACTCGAAAACTTCCATGTGTGGGGCTCTTCGCTGGCTGCACCACTGTGACCGTGGTCTTCAAGTCCTCGCCATGGCGCTGCTGGTTTCCCGTGGCATGTGTGTCTGAGAACCCATCTTGCTGCACATCTACGCTGGTCTTCCAGCTCTTGGCAACCGGAGGCTTGTCCTTCAAGGACTCCCAGAACTCAGCACCATCGCTCCCTGTCTCCTCCATGATCCACACTTCGGCGGAATGTGCCTCCGCGGTCTTCTCGACTTTGGAATTCTTGGCCTGCCTCTTCTCAGGGCACTCCCTCTTCCAATGTCCTGTCTTCCGACAGTAGTGGCACTTGGTTTTGCTCTTCAGAACTTCAAGCTTGCCTCGGACTGTGCCCGAGAGTCTCCACTGGCTCGGATCATCCTTGCCAGCAGGTGCAGTGAATCCGCGCAGCTTCTTCTTCTCCATAAGCTTTCTACGGATCTCTGTGTAGCTCTCAAAAACATCCAAGGCATCCTCTTCATCTCCCCCGGACTGGTAGGGATCGGTGATCACCTCCAGAACTTCTTCTAGATTGTCACCCTCTTCCACAAAGCTGCCAACAGCTCCAGGGCTAGACTGCATGTCTTCTGTCTGAAACACTTTTTTTTGAGACTTTGCTGATCCCCTTCCTTCTGGAAAGATGCCTCTGACATTCGCCAGCACCTCCTTGACTTCCAGGCTCCCTTTGGTAGCCGTCATAACAAGGCTTTCCTGCGTATTGTCAAGACGAAGCTTTCTCAAAAGAAAAAACCCTTGAACCTCCTTGGGCAGAGTCACATTCTGCTCCTTCAGTTTTCTCAGCGCAGCATCAAACCTGGCAATGAATTGCTGGAATGTCTCTCCTGGCTTGATGCTAAGCTCGTAGAAGAAGCCCTTGAGCGCCTGCTGCATCAAGTCTCTAGGTTGTGGCAAGTACTTCTCGTCAAGGACCTTGAAGATCTCTTCGTCTCCACCTTCTTTCACTAAGGTGTCAACATCTATTGTCTCCAAGAGAGACTCTGCTTCTCCCTTCACATACTTCATGAGTCTAGCTCCAAACTTGGCTGCCGTCACTGTCGACGGAAGGCCCGCCAGCATCAATCTGGCTCGTCTCTTCCACAGTCTATACTGTGATGTATCTGAGCCGTCAAACGTATCGAGCTTTCCATCTTCGTCCGCAGCCGAGCTCGTTGCCATGGCGTCGCCCTATTGATCAGGGCTCCGCTACCACTGTGACCCTCAATGGAGTCACAGTGGTGCAGAGATCGACCTTTTTCTACGAAGCTTAAGCCCCACACGCTCAGCACCTCACAATCAGATGTGAACGACATCAACATGGGATAGTGCTATTCACACTATTTATTTCAGTGATTGTAGCAATTTCTATGTTATTCTTTGGAGTTGGTAGAGGATACGATAGGATATAGGATAGATTCATCGTATAGAGATCCTATAATTGGGCAGATGAACATTTGGGTATGGATCAATACCTATAGATACCATATTTTAGTGGGTTATTCACATCCATAAATCCCAGCTATTTTGATGTGAACTACAGGGGTACTATTGGTTTTGACACACTGCCATTTATTTTCCCAGTTCTTTTGGTGTTTACCAGGCTTTCAGGGACCTGCAGGACCCCTTTTTTGCCGATGAGACCAGGCGAATTTGGCCGATGCGACTGCCACGGGTGGAGCTACATCTTCGTTTGTGCCTGGGACGTGCGGGGGATAACATGATATTAAATTGGCAGTTCAAGCGTCAAACATATGCTGGTTGGTGGTTTGGAACATTTTTCATTTTTTCCATATATTGGGAATAATCATCCCAACTGACTAATATTTTTCAGAGGGGTTGAAACCAGCAACCAGTAAGGATTTAAGCAATGTTCAGAATAGGAATATCATGGGGAAAACGTTCAGCAACTCACTTGTCCACCTAACAAACCCTCCAGTGGCAATGACAATTGTGGGAGCACGTTCCCCAGAAGAATTCTTCATTTTTTGGGTATATACCATTTCTGGACCCCCAGTGGTTGGGTTCATGGTGCCATGGTGACAGAGTTTTACCAGGTCATTGGCTCCTGTTGGATTTGTTTTTCAGTGTGAATGGTTTCATCCAAAGAGAAGTTTTCTGGAAACACAATATGAGAAGACCTGAAAGTCATACTTGCAATCATTTTGTACATTTGTGTACAGTGCGCTCAATTTGTACAATCTCCCAAACTTAGATGCTTCTATTGTCAATAGAATATAATAATGCACTAGACAAAAAGACATATGACATTGGTGGCTTGAACAAAAATCACGTGTTAGCACCATTTATCAACTGCTTCAAACATGTTCGGACACATGTTTTGAACCATACACATGCATTATTCATCCTTTTGCCGGGTCCATTCAATGAAACAACGCAACGGGGCCGGGTAAGCGACGTAGGTCTCGCATCACTGGCATCAGAAGAAGTTCAAACTGGGCATGGTGAAGGCAGCCACAGGCCGCTGAGCAGCTGCTAAGAGATGGTGGCTGATTCTAAGCAGTGAAAATGATGTTTAACCATCACTGGTTGGTGGTTTGTAACATTTTTATTTTCCCCAGTAGTTGGGATGATGATCCAATCTGACTAATATTTTTCAGAGGGGTTGGTATACCATCAACCAGATCAAATTTGATCAAGTTTGGGGATACCTTATGGAAAACAATTCCAGACTCCCTGGAACATGATGATTGCTGTTTACCCTCTGGGTTTTGTCATTCCCGGGGCTGCTAGAACCTTTTGTCAGTGCACCCTGAAAGTGCGCCCATTTAGGGAAAAAGCAACACATAATTACACAACTGGCTACACATTGATAAAGTGGGTAAACTTTTATGGGTAGTTTGAGGATCTAAACAAGTAGGCAGAATTCTTTGATTTTCCATAGTTGTATATACATGGTTTGATGTTTTGGGTTTGTTCACGCAATAAGTGAATTAAGGTCCTCACTGATTGGATATGACCATTGTCTAGAGAATTTGGAAAGCAAATGGTGGGCGAATATTGAGACGAATAGTGAAATTCTGTCCCCAGCGGATTATTCGAGGTTCACTCATTCCCCAAATGGCAGAGGGTAGTAGCACAACAACCGTGGTGAAAATACACCTGCAGTCAGTCTCCATAAATCAAACCTTCCATCACATTTGGAGGGCGTCAACATCAATTTATAGAAATTTATAGACTGGAATAGATAGAATATAGACATTTCCAAGTATCCTTGCTAAACTGGGAATATGGTTGACATTATCATATTCTGCCTACTTCAGGATGATGATCCATTTCTAACCTATGTATTTTGAGTGAACTTACCCTGCAGCCATTTGCAGCCCATTCTGGTTGCACAGCAGGTGTCACTTGCCCAGATGGACAGTGGTTTGGTTCCCTGGCGCATGAATTGGTGTCTAGGTTGTTTAGTACCACTGCCAATGTCTCTGTATGTATTTGTACATTGTATCATTACAGGGTACTACGTCACATTATGTATTTCTAGTGCATAAAGAAAACATGTTACACTTATATATATATATACATACACATATGGTATATCTTAGGCACTCACATACTGTCACATGCTCGTCAGTTCACAATTAACATGTCCGCATTCCTGGCAACTGGCAACTTGAGGTCTAATGTTTTGAACATAGATATCAGATTGGGTGGAAAACATATGTGGGATCATGTTTTTTAGCATTTACATGTTTTGTTGGGAGTTCCATGGAACTGATTGAAGTAATGATAGATCCAGTCCTTGAATGAAATCGTTGTTTTATCTACCTGTTTGTTTTTGATTGTCTTAAGGGTTGTAATATTATTTGCACAAGTTGTGTTGCAAAGTTCTCTGTGCTATGGCCTGTATCAAGAGTTTGTCTGCCATTATGTACTCTAAAATGTACATATAGTCATGTTGCTGTCAATAGTTCTGAATTGCACGACTCACAAGTCAAAAGTGTTTCATTGCAGCACGACTGGGATTTCTTTGAAAGTAAGGTACTCCAAAATCCAATATGGTCTATCATCATGTTCCCATATTTTCCCTATTAAATATATTAAATGGCCATAAAAATGCGGGTTAATATACCTCTTCATCCACTGATTTGGAGGTTTGGGAAGCAAGAATCTCAGCCGCAGGGATTGGATACGTTTCAGGGAGTATACACTTGGGGACTCTTGAGGAGATCATATAACGACCTCACTGTTCTCCCTCACTGGAATCATAGTTAATAAGGGAAGTCATCCCCCAATAGGCCTTAATTCAGGTTAGTGACATATTATAATTTACCAACATATATACATATATATATACATATATATATATATATTATACATATATATATGTATATGTTGCATACACCAAACATCAGTTTTTTGTGCATTGCGGCATTGCTTCTTTACACAATGATGATGCATACCGCTCAAGTCAAAGCCGGAAGTTTTTTTAGTGAGTTGGATCCGATACATCGGAGGTGTGCGAAGTCATGGGGGTACCCCCAAGTCAGGTACCCATCCAGCTATTGTGGTACTCCCCACTATTTTTTAACCCCCAGATATGGTTTTCTGAAGATTTAGGGCATTACTGGTTGGTGGTGTGGAACATGACTTTTATGACTTTCCATATATTGGGAATTTCATCATCCCAACTGACTAATATTTTTCGCAGGTGTTGAAACCACCAAGCAGATGAATGTTTGAAACGGCGGATTCAGTATGGGACCTGACCTCAGTGAAGCTATAAACATAGCTAGTCCAGGCTCGAGGATTTGGAGTTCCAGATGAGGACATGACCAAGAAAACGACCATTCCCAGCGCGCCAAAACAAGAAGTGATCATCATTAATTAGTTGAAAAAGGGTCTAAGGATATATAAGGGGGATGTAACCAATGACCATATGGGCCATATGGGGACATTGACCAAACGGGTTGGCCAACATTGACTCTGATGACCAGGAAAAAGTATTACTACGACGGGTTTGAACCGCTTCCGGATGGATTAAGAGACAATGTGGCTCTGATGTTAGAGTATTCCAAAGACGATGCCACGACCTTCGTGTTTGAAGAAGTTGGAAAGACGAAAGGAGGCGAGAAGGCAAAGAACGGAAATACGGGAAACAACCAGGGATATGAGATCTGGTAGGTGGTTTGGAATATGAATTTTATTTTTCCATATATTGGGAATTTCATCATCCCAAGTGACTTTCATATTTTTCAGAGGGGTAGGCTCAACCACCAACCAGTGAGATGATAAAATTGATTCTTGAGTGTCTAGGGGATTCACATATTTAATGGACCATCTACAGGGCCGGCCATGTGTTGGAAATTTCAGGGGGGTCAGATTTTCATGGATATGGGTAAAATTACTGACGCACACACAGACACACCAAAAAAATAAACATATATAAATATTTCAATGGTGTCATAATTACAATAATAAGAATGACTGATTTTCTGGTCCATCAGTGCACAAATCTGATCCATCCCTCAAGCTACTAGACATCGTTGTTCATATGTCTTGGGGATTGGGGTGGCCATGCCGGTCTTGAGTTTTTCGTTTGTTTCATATCGGTTTTCCAATAGATTGGGAATTTGGGAATGGGGATACCGTGGGAAACCCTTTAAAATCCCTCACCGGTCTTATTACTACTTCATTAATATTGAACATGCTATGTTGGGGAGGGATCCCATTTGTTTATATTTGCTTCACAACTCCAAACATAATGGTGTTAGTTATACTTGTATCAGTTATATCAGTGATATCAGTTAGATATATCCCATCATATCACATTGTTGCACTGCTATGGTTGGGAAAACAACGTACGTGTTGGCGATCGACACCACGATGTTCAAATTGCCAGGAGATTTGGTAAATCCACGCACTCTCCAAGGTGCCAAGTGGGAGAGATCTTCTTGTGGAATCGATGAGTTTTTCTGGGCAAGAGATGGGGATTACCCTCTGGTAAACATACAAAAGACTATGGAAAATCACCATTTATAGTGGGTAAATCAACGATAAGTGGCCATGTTCAATAGCTATGTTAAATTACCAGAGGGTAAGCCATAACATTTGGGTAGGTTTTCACTTTTTTTCAATTGAAACCAAACAGACCAAGGCATATATTGCATAGCTTAAATTCAATTTTGCGATATGGCCAGTATGGTTATCACAGTTCGACTATGTTATCAAGAAATATGGCTATCATGATGATCCGTGTGCCTTTGCACAATGTAGATTTCTTAAGACACAGGACATGTGGTACTTCACTTGTTTCGTTTAAGGGTCACAACCGTTGTCATTACTTCACATACACTCTGGTGAACTAACATAGCTATTGAAAATGGCCATTTATAGTGGATTTACCCAGCTATAAAATGGTGGATCTTTCCATAGTTATGTTAGTTTACCAGAGGGTAACTTCACGTGACAGTCTCTATGACTCTCACTACTTGTTTTTAGAATGGATGTTGTTTTTAGATGGATGGAGATTAGAGATGTTCCAATTCATCCAAACCTCCAGGTTTTCTGCTTTCCTTCATTGGGGCTGCCTCGAAATTGGAATTCTCAAATGTTGTGCTTGACCATCAATTTGTCCATTAAGACTGCCATTTGGGGTTCAAATTTTTGACAGTGAAGGCACCTCTCATTTCCATGCAGAATGTCAGAGAGACATTTCAATGTGATGTGTCTCCCTTGGGATTCCTAAGTTGAACCGAAACCTTAGTTGCCTGGTTATAAACCAACTCTGCTGACTATGGCACTACCTTTTATGGACACCTATACATGCAACTGTATATGCATATATATTTTACTATATTTTACTATATATATATATATGTATATATATATTATATATATATTATATTATATATATTATATATATATATATATTATAAATATATATATATAATAAATATATATATATATTATATGCGAAGGGGAACGAGGTAACAGTGTAGCTGCACATGATGAACATGTGTACAGTCATGCATGGACCGCCAATGATATTGGCTCAAGTCCTGCGCGAGGAAAATAATAACGCTGTCCGCATGCCATGCACTGAGATTGCCCGGCGATATCAGCATTACTGGTACTACAGACAAAAGGGATAATCCAGAACAAGGATCAATTTGTTCACAGGTTATCAGCCGTAGGGCTCACTTCTCCCGCCGGGAGAGTGGTACCTGCGTGCTGGTAGCCGGGCCGTCTGAGCAATTGATTGAGGACGCAAAGGACCAATCAGCTCATCATCGCAAAGATGCAAGGCGGCAGCGGAGATTCGCGCACCACGCAGTTTACCTTCAATGAGAACGCTGCTATGCCGGTCGAGGAGGTCAATCAATCTTCCCCTGGCGACACGGCAGACAGTGGCGGGATACGCTCTACCCGAACTACACAGTCCGGATGGCAAGTCACATCAAACAGACGAAGAATATCCACCCAAAGTACACCTAGATCTTCTCGAAACAGTGCTCGGAGTGATGTTGTCCGCCAAGGGCATCGACCATCTCGAGGACGTACTACTCCAAGGGACAGATCCACCAGGGCCGTGACCGACCGAATTGGTGAGAGGACCGGGGATAGTCGTGTTAAGAGGAGATCAACGGATACTTCTGTGGCTAGTGAACCTATTGCCATGATAGAGGAACTACGGGCACAATGTCAATCCCTACGTAATCAGCTGAACAACATGGAAGCATACGCTGCATCCAGGGATCAACTGATTCATGACATCGAGATCAGATTCACTGAGTATCTTCGGGAACACAATCAGAATGTATTTGATGAGGTCAATGCACTCAATCATAGATTGTCATGTTCCGCAAATGAGGTTGCAGAATATCAAGCAGAACTAATGGTAGCATCTCAGGAAGACGAAGGTGCAACAATACGCATCCAAGACCTTGAACGCCGAGGTGCCCTAATGGAACATGGTGCACGACGGATCCATCAACGTGGTATGGAGATCCAGGAGGAGTACAAGGATGAAGTACATCACCTTCAAGGACTACTGGGTAATACGGAGGCAAGACTACAACAACTTCATCAAACCAATGTCTTAACCACCGATATTGCCAATCGACTATACAATGAAGGTCAAGAAATGCAAAATGATTTCCAGAACTCAATCATGGAATATCGTAATCGATCTGAAATGGCATCCTTCTCTAGTAATCAACTTGAAGTGATTAGCCAACAACAATCAATTGCAGTTCATGAATTATCTGAGCGAAATCAGCTATTGAGTGAAGCTTTGGTTCAGTCTCGTAAACAGGCCGAGCTGTATGAGAGCAGTATTGATGAGATCACTAGAGAATCTAGGAAGAAGGTGTTCGAGGCAAATCAGGCCAAATTGGAAAGTGATCTGAAGCATCGAAACACTGAACATGATACCGTCAGAAGAATTGCATCATACAGGAACCAAGAGGCCGAAGCAATATCTCACCTGAGGCTTGAATCACAGGCTAGTGCAAACTCGATCGCAAGGGCAGAGCACTATGAGGAGCTCTATGCCAACGAGCAGAAGATGAACTGCGAATTGAAGGATGAGATCAAGTTGCAGAACACGAAGTTACGAAGATCGTTGACTCAGGGTTCTACGACCGACGGTCGTGGCCCCGAAGAGATGCTTGTTGAAGATCTACGTAATCAAGCTAAGATCGCTCAAATCAGGGTTCAGGATCTAGATCATGAAGTTCATGAATGTTTACAAGAGAACTTGTTGTTAAAAGAAAGGTTGGCTGAAGTTGCGGATGTAGGGGCGTCGTCCCTCACCAATGCTGAGGTCCGAACTCTAAGATCTGAACTAGAGAGTGAGCGAAAATTGAAATTGGCGAGTGGTGTTCAACAATATGAGAGATCATGCATGTTCATGGGGGAAATCCAGGATAGGGATGAAAAGATTGGCATCAAGAATTCTGAGATTGTTGACATGAAACGTCACTTAGATGAACTGAGAAAAAGTCTCAAGGATTCTGAAACATCTATGGCTAGGATCAGTCCTGACACACTTCCCTATTCGGCAGGCATTCCCAACTCCGATCTCGCATCCAGACTGGTCATCGACAAACTGGAGAATGACGTGAGTGAGGCTAACTGTGAAAACGCTATTCTGAAATCTTGGGTTTCGCAGATCGACAAGGAGTTGACTTATGAGACAAATGTGGCTCATTCCTATCGTGGGCATGCTGTACCTCCTCAACAACAACAGCATTCTCAATCAAGCAAAAGAATCGCTGATCTGCTGAAAGAGGTTGACAACAAGATCGCTGGCGGAACTGAGAGGGACTATTACAAGCCACCGAGTGGATGGGGTGGTCCGCCTGACCCTGATGGACCTCCGGACCCTTTCGGGCCTAACGGTCCAGGACCACCTCCTGAACCTCCTGGTTTGCCTTCAGTTCGAGGATCACAACGCGATTCAGCAGATGATGTCTCCACAGCGGCTTACACTGCGGAAGAAGTACCGAGAATGTCAAGACGAGAGGCTGACAAAGTCTATGTTAGCCCATGGCCAAAGCAACAGAATCTTGGGGTTTGGCAATCAGATCTCATCAAGAGTGTTGTTCTTTCGGCAAATGACGGGGATAAAGCCGCATGGGAAGCATGGCTACAGCCGGCTATTCGACCAAATCCTGACATCGAGCTGTTGAATGACAGTGGGGGGCAACGGTATCAGTCCATCGACGCCAAGTTGTCAATTGCATTGTCAAACGTGATAGCCCAAGCCGGTGATGTTGCTCGTCATGTAGCGATCAAATTGAGATTGAGAACACAAAGTCATAGCCGAAGAGGAACCTATGTCATGGGACGGGAAATCTTGGCTATGATTCTGGAGCACTTCAGAACCCCAGGTCAACGAGAAACATCCTTCACCATGGAACACATCGTATCGATGAAGTATCTCGGTGACTCGAACCTAGAAGTGTTCTACGAGAAATGGATGGAGATGGTATCAAACATGATGCCGGATGACGTACCTCCTGATGATTGGCTTCGTGACGCTCTATACAAAAAGATTCCAAATTCGAGTCTTATGATGTTCGACATCAAGCAGTACGAGTCATGGATGGAAGGAGACCAAAGACGAAATTATCGCTACCTGTTGGATGTCATCGAAAGGCACATCTCCAGAATCAGAGAGGACAAGCATGTGGCAGCCAGAGAGAAGTATGCGAGAGACTTTGCAGGCGGCGGCAAACCTTCAGCTCCTGCTCCGAACCCAACTGCCGCTGCACCGGATGCAAATCCAAAAGCGAAGCCTAAAGCTACTCCCAAGGAGAAGGCAGCGCCCAAGGCGAAGGCCAAGGCCGATGCAGCTCCAGTTCTACCATCACCTCAGCCTAAACAGCATGCGAAAGGGAAAGGAAAAGGTCAAGGGAAAGGGAAGGATCGAGCAAACAGCCGAAGTACCAGCCCCAGATCCAAGAAGAAGATCCCATGCCATTTCCATTTCATCAAGAAGTCATGCAGAAAAGGCAAAGATTGTGAATACAGTCATGATCAAAAGGTGTTCGAGGCGAATAAGAACGCAAAAGGGAATGGTCGGAAGCCAGGAACTCCAAGAAGTCAATCTCCGGCAAACAAGACCAAGAAGATTGATGAACCATGCTGGCATTGGGCCAAGGGCAAGTGTCGGTATGGAGACAAATGCAACAAACGCCACGATCCTCATCTATTTAACACTGCTCCCAACACCGAAGCACCAAGCTCAAAGGCTACTCCTGCACTTGTCCATGATTGGAGCGATGATGAAGAGACGTTCCATAAGATTGCATCGAACGTGGTCAAGAAGAGGGTCAGATTTGATGAGTCTAAGACTCACGTTCAAACTTACGTAAAGAAGGACTTCGTGAAGTGCAATCGGAAATCTCAGACTGTCTCCAAAGG